GTTGTTGTAATATCTCTTATTACAACGTTCTAATATCTCTTATCATTTCATTATATAATTAGCAGTTCAGTATCTGCAAAACTAAAGTTCAAAGTATTAGGTTTGTAGATGTGATTGACATCTTAAAATACTATCTTAAGTCTGACTCCATCTTTTTTTTTTTTTGCCCATTTTTCTCAGTTTTTTTAAAAAATATATTTTTATTAATTTCAGAGAGGAACAGATAGAAACACCCATGGTGAGATAGAATCATCGATTGGCTGCCTCCTGCATGCTCCCTAATGAGGATGAGTCTGCAACTGGGGTATGTGCCCCTGACCACATCAAACCTGGGAACCTTCAGTCTGCAGGCTGATGCTCTATCCACTGAGCAAAACTGGGTAGGGCTTTCTCACTGTTTTTATGTTGCTGTCTGTTTTTGCTCTCCCTCTTTTCTCCTGTAGTCAGTTGCTCTTTTTTTTTTTAATTGATGAGAGAGAGAGAGAGAGAGAGAGAGAGAAAAGAGAAAGAGAGAGAGGACAGAAATGTAGATTTAGAATTACAGATTTGTTGTTCTACTTATTTATGCATTTGTTGGTTGTTTCATGTTTGTGCCTTGACTGAGGATAGAACCCACAGTCTTGTTGTATCAGGATGACACTCTAATCAACTGAGCTACCCAGCCAGGGATATAACTTTATTTTTAATTAAACTTTTTATTTTGAGATCATGTAGATTCACATGTGGTACAAAGAAATAATGTATAGACATTCAGTGCACTCTTTGCTCATTCCTGAATGATTTCATGAACTGTGCAAAATTGCAAAATAAAAATCACAGGGCTAAGGAGTAAAAGGGGTTTGCAGCACACATTAAAAACCTTACCAGTGACATAAAAAAGAGATATAAAACTAATAAAAAATGGTAGCAATTTTACATATGTCACATGGTCAAGAATAGCATAAACACTATGATAAATAGGATTCTTTACCTTGAAAAAGACCTGAAGTATGCTGATGGAATTGTTGACAAAAAAAGTTATAGCTGTGAGTTATGTGTGATGGTGGAAGGAGGGGTACCCAAAATCAGACAGAAATTTATAACACAGATGCACAGATGGTTTGTCTCTCAGCACACAGTGAACTGAGGTCAGTGCTAGATGTTTGGGAAAGGTGCAGGTGTGTATTTTGTGTGTTTCTACATTGATTGGTTTGGGTAGATGCAGTTTTCTATATTTAACCAGTGATTCTCAGAGATGAAACAATGTGTAAGAGGACACAAAATTTACCTATGTTCAGATTATTTCTTAATATATCTATTGTGTTGGAACAAACTTATATTTTCCAAACAAGCATTATAGTGGAATTGATTGTACTTTTTTGTTGTTTCTCATTTTATTAATTCAATTTGGTTGGGCTCTTTTTCTCTTAGCACCATTTCTGTCTAATTGTTGCACTGTCTTTACCACAAAACTTTTTCAATGTGGCTAGGCTGTAGGCATGCTTTTGAAGACATGGGTCACACTAGCAGCCACTTCAGAAAAGGGAAAAGTAAATTTCAAAATACTTAATTCTTTTCAGTCTTCTTTCCATAGATTTTTGTGCACTTATAACTTTTATTTTGATAGCAATATAGAGATCAAGACTTGTTCCAGCTAAGTCACATTCACAGTGGGGGACAACATTCTTTAAAAGAAAATGTTGTATTAGTTCTTCATCCCAGTGTCACTGAATTGAAAATGAAACTTGCAGTTGCACACAGGATCTTGAGTAAAAATAGAAAATATTACATGTTTTCTAACCCCTTATTTATTATTTAATAATTAGAGGCCCAGTGCATGAATCCATGCACACTGAAAGGAAATTAATTAGAATAAATATTTTAAAGGCTGGAGAGGGACCAAGGGGAGGGTTCCAGGGCATGTCCAGCTCACCTCACCCAGTCCCAATTGGCTGGACCCCAGCAGTAAGCTAAACTACTAGTCGAAGTGCCTGCCCTCTGGTGGTCAGCACACATCACAGTTACTGGTATAGCAGTCAACCAAGTGGTTGACCAATTAGTTGGACACTTAGCACATTAAGGCTTTTATATATAGAGATAATATACTGTTACATAAATGTAATATTACTTATAATATACTAGAGGCCTAGTGAATGAAATTTGTACACTCGGGGGAGCACAAATTTGAGTACGAGGAGCAGGCCTAAGCAAGGAGTCAGACATCCTTAGCTCTGCTGTGGAGGTGGGAGAGGCTCCCACCACTGCCGCTGTGCTCACTAGCCATGAGCCTAGCTCAGGGCTTCTGGCTGAGTGGCACTCCCCCTGTGGGAGCACACTAATCATCAGAGGGCAGCTCCTGAATTGAATATCTGCCCCCGATAGTCAGTATGTGGTCATACCATCTTGTCCTTCCACCAGTCCTTATGTGGATTTGCATATTAGCATTTTAATATATAGGATCTTATATATAATCTATCTATCTATCTATCATCTGTCTAACTATAATGGAGGAATATGCATATTTACACAGGATGCCATTATATCATGACCGTTCACAGGGTGGGCAGGGCTGCGAGGCTGGGGGCAGCACTCCGGGTCTAAGCACAATTTTGTCCCACTCAGGCAGACTCCCCTGCAGCCCACAGCCAAATACCAACACTAATCTGGAGTTTACTAAACTTTACTGGAGCTGCTCCCCATACCCTTACTCCCTGTCCACAGCAGGGTGCCTGGCAGCAACCTGACAGGCGGGGCGGCCTGGGAGAACCCAGTGGGGGGGGAGGGGTGAAGGCTGCAGAGAGCCATGGGGGGGCAAGGCCGCCAGAGCCAAGCTCCCCGGGGTCTGAGGAGAGCACCTGAAGGAAGAGGAAGCTTCAGTGAAGCAGCCAGATAGGAGCTGCAGCCTGGAGGTCCTCAGGCACACAGAAAGGTGGCTCTCAGGCAAACACTGTGGCTTCAGTGAAGTGGCCAGCTAGGAGGCGGGTGGCCCAAGGGGCACAGAGTAGCGCCGAGGTGGAGTGTACCACAGAGGGCTCTGGCTGGGGCAGGGGTCTGGTGGGCGGGGATCTTCCTCACCTGTGGAGAATGAGATTCTGCAGTAGCCCCAAGATTCAAGTTGGCTGGGGACTGGCAGGTGCAAGATGCTGGGCTCACTGCTGGCAAGCGCAGCTGCAGTGGTACAAGCCTCTCCTGCCTCTGCAGCAGTGCTATTGAGTGGTGGCAGTGGCAGGCTCAGCAGGGCAGGAATGAGAGGGAGGAGGATGATGCCCAGCTCAGGCTTGGGCTTCTCCCAGGCCAGCTGCATTACTTCATGCACTAATATATTATAGACCTCGGAGATGTAGGACTGCTAGTTTCAGCTAATCCCTGCAGGCCAGTGCCTCTACTCCCATATAATAAATAGGAAATATGCTAATTGACCATCAGGCCCTCACAAAGATGACGGTGCCCACAGCCATAAGATGGCAGTGTCCAGTCCCCTCAGCCCCACTTGGACAGCAGGCACACATCAGGGCCAGGCCTACCTCCTGACAAATCTGGCCGCTCTTTGTGCCTGCCTCTGGAGTCCCCTAGTCCCCTCAGCTCCCCAGCCACCCAGGGCTGGCCTGAGGCGCAGGCAAGTCTTGATGTCAGCTGCCAAACTGCCCAGGGCCACCGAGGCTCAGGTTACCAGGGCTGGCTGAGGTTTGCACTGCTGGCAGTGGCAGCAGTAGAAGTGTGATGGAGGCATCACGTTCCCCTGATTGCCAGGTCACCTCCTGCCCCTGAGGGCTCCCAGACTGTGAGAGGGGATAGGCCTGACTGAGAGACCCCTCTCCAGTGCATGAATTTTCATGCACCAAGCCTCTAGTAAATATATAATACCTTTCAGTTCCAATGCCTCTGTTACCCCGTTTGAAAATCACTGATTTACCTTTGTATTCTAAATAGGGGCCTGGTGCATGGATTCATGTACCTCTTGCAATCTGGGACTGCTTGGGGGATGTAGTAGTGCATGAAGTGGCAGGCAGCCAGGGAAGGGCCTGGGCCCGGGCTGGGCACCAATTCCACTCATGCTGGCCCCATTACACTTGCTGCTTGGGCACACAGCATGAGTGTCCATGGTAGAGCCTATTGCCTGCTGCAGCTGCACTTGCCAGCTGGTGCCCATCAGTCAGCTGAATGGCACTCCTGCTATGAGAGTGCATTGACCACCAAGGGGCAGCTCCTACATTGAGTGTTTTCCCCCTAGTGGTCAGTGCACATCATAGCTACCATCCGGTTGTCTGGTTGTCTGGTCACTTAAGCTTTTATATGTATAGGCTAGAGATCCAGTGCACAAAATTTGTGTGCTGGGGGTGGTGTCCCTCAGCCCAGCCTGCAACCTCTCCAATCTGGAATTGGGCCTAAACTGGCAGTTGAATATCCCTCTCACAATTCAGGACTGCTGGCTCCTAATCATTTACCTGCCTGGCTTCCTAATTGCCCCTAACCACTCTGCCTGCCAGCCTGATAGCCCCCTAATCGCTCTCCTGCCAGTCTGATTCACACCTAACCGCTCCCCTGACAGCATGATTGACACCTAACTGCTCTCTTATAGCCCAATCACTCCCAACTGCCCTCCCTTACAGGTCTGGTCTCCCCCAGCTACCCTCCTCTATTGGCCATCTTGTAATGGCATGCAGGCAGCCATATTTTGGTGGCTATCTTGTGACAATGTGCAGGTGGCCATCTTGTGACAACATGGGGCAGCCATCTTGTGGTGGCCATCTTTTGATGATATGCGAGGGTCATCTTGTGACAACATGGTGGTAGCCATCTTGTGACAACATGGACATAAGGATCAATTCGCATATTACCTCTTTATTATATAGGTTGTCAATTAAGAGTTCTTGTTAGAGACTTAGTTTTCCTCCTAAATTAACTCTTTTAGAGTTCCTATTTCTCAGTGTGAAAGCTGTATCCATTTCATTATTTAAGTTTATGAATTGTAAATTGAAGATGAAATAATCCTATGCACTATGTCTTTTCTTTTCCTTCAGCGTTTGTCCAATGGTTCTATAGACTCAACTGATGACACTAGTCAAATAGTGGAACTACAGGAATTGCTTGAAAAACAAAACTATGAAATGGCCCAAATGAAAGAACGTTTAGCAGCACTTTCTTCCCGAGTGGGAGAGGTAGAACAAGAAGCAGAGACAGCAAGAAAGGATCTCATTAAAACAGAAGAAATGAATACTAAATATCAAAGGGACATCAGGGAGGTGAGTGATTAATAACACTTTCAGTCTTTACTTCCTGAATGCTATCTTTGAGGTGCTTTTTCCATAATATTCCCTGTGGTAATACTCTTTTCATCTCAAAAGACCATAATCTGGGATGTATTGTGTTAGTTATGAAACTTGTTCAATAAGGCAAATATTGTTTACTTCAGCATACCTTTGAATACATGTAGAAAGAAATTTTGATATCAAGTCTCAGATATAATAAAAAATTGTTTACAGTTTTTAAAGATTTTTAAAAAATTGTGGAGCTGTTCATTTTAAACTATCATTGATATAAATCTGTATTGTGAGTTGTTATGCTCTTAGATATGGGACTACTCAAAGACATTTTAAAAATTTCCCCTCTCATTTTTGTATTTGTGTCTATAAATGTGAATGTGTATGTTTGTATGTGCTAATTGTCCTTTTTCTATACATCCAGTTCTCACTAGACTTGACATCATATTACCTACTCTTTAAAAGAGAATACTGGAAAGTTATTACAAAAGACACAATGATATTATTTATTTGTAACATTTCAAATCATCTTACTAGCTAAGGTGAAAAGTTTAGAAGTTTTTCACTTTCTCTCTCTATTCAAAAAGATTATATTTATGAAAATTTTATTTTGTGACTTACTGTTTCCATTTTTACATATTCATTTAAATAATATAGTTTAGACATTTTATATCTTTTGTATACAGAATGGCCAGATTATTATAATCTCTGAATGCATAATATTCTGGCTATTCAGTGTATATTCTATATAATAAATGGCTAAAATGCAAGTTGTCCCCTTGATCATGAGTTCAACCTGCAGGCAGGCCAGCCAACTGCCATGGCCCCTCCCCTTGGCCAGGCTGGAAGGACCCCACCCATGCACGAATTCATGCACTGGGTCTCACCGATCATAATAATCTGGCCACTCAGTATATATTTAACTATTTTTATTGAAGTGTAACCTACTCTGTGTAGCCAGTTTTTTTCCTTACCATTTTATCTTCAGTTTATTTTATTCATACTGTCCTATTCAAACTGTTCTTCCTCACATTGTCCTTCACTTCCCTATTGCTGAATCTAGGGACGACGTCTCAGTTCTCTGAAGCACTTGATCCAGTTCTCACTCCCTGGAGCACTTTTTTCATTTGACTAATAGCACACTGAACCTGCCTGATTTTCCTCCAGCCTGCTTACTACTCCCATTTCAGCCGCCTTTACTGGCTCAGCTTCCTGCCCAGTCATGAGCTATCCTTTCTCAATCTACCTTTACTCCCTGAGTAAAAAACCAGCTAGTGACTTATGAATCTCAATTTATATCTCCAGCTTATCCTTCTCTCCTGATACCTGATATCTGTGTCTAAATTTCCAATGGGTCTCTCAAAATTAGATTTCTCAATATTGTTTTCCTGCTATTCCCCTAGGAAGCCAGGCTTACTCGAAGTCTTACACATCTGAACCTGTGGCAACCCTATTACTGCTGCTCAGGCTAAAATCCTTGGAGTTGTCCTTGATATCTCTCCTGTTTACATTGCAATCAAAGGAATTGCAGTACTTGCAAGCTATGTACTGTCTGACCTCTTAGAACTCATCTTATAATCTTTCATTTTATCCCCATCTGTTCAGTTAAGGGGCCTCTTAAACAAGCCAGGCCTTTTTTATTTATTTTTTATTTTTTATTTTTTTACATTTCCCTTTCCCTCTGCCTTTTGCTCAAATTTTTCCCAGTGAAGTGTTCCCTATCCATGCACACCCACCCCCTTCTCTCATTTTTAGTCCCACAGCATTACTGCACCTGAAATATTTCATATATTACTGATTTACTTGTTTATCATATGCCTTTCAACTAGACATAAAAATTTATAAGGGATGTAATTTTTTGTTTTGTCTTGTTTTGTTTTACTGCTCCATTTGAATCACTTACATAACTATTGAGCATATGATAGACATTCAAACACCTTTATGGAGATGATGAATATTTATAGATGTTTGATGTCCACATCAAAAGGCATGGATAAGATCAGAATAAAGTCCTAAAACAATGTCTACTCTCTCAGAAAAAGATTCATGTCCCAGGAAGTGGTAGATTGCTCTACCACTGCACTAATAAAGATACTGAGCCCTCTATACCTTATATTAATTAACAGTCTACAGATATGTCTCTCAACTCCTCCCACAACGCAAACTCAAAAACTTTATAAAGTAAATGAATTTAATCTCTCTTCTAAATCACTGTTAAAGGAATACTGAGATTTCTAGCCAATACATTACCAAGAAAATTTCTTGAGGCAAATTCCATATTTTTTTTATTTTCTTAGTCCTAGAGATTTAGCTGTTTTCCTTTCATTTAACACTCATCTATTTTATTCTCACATATTTAATCCAGTGACACAGGTAGACCCCAGAATCACCAGCTCCCCTTTCTTACTGCTGATGTAAAAATAGTTCCTTGATTCTAGTAGTCTTTGAATGTAGGTGACAAAATTTTTTTTCAATTATCTGGTGCCAGGGGCTCTTTTATTGGGAATCCCTTCTATTAATGTGTAAGCTATCCTGCCTTCAGATGAATTATTTTAAAATATAACTATTCATATCAGCTCTACAGTTTTTATGTAGCTGTACTTTAGAAGAGTTTCATAAGAAAGGAATGTCTGCCCTATTTCACCTTTGAAGGGAAGTTGCTAACACTAATGCTTTCAAAGCCAGATAGGCAGTATAACTGTATGAAAGGCCAGGTGCTGGATAGCAGAAAGTGATAGAGTTAATGAAACCTGGACAAAGAGCCTACACTCTGCTCTCATGCATCGTGTGTGTGTGTGTGTGTGTGTGTGTGTGTGTGTGTGTGTGTGTGTAAGACACTGAAGGTCAAATAAAATATTTTCAGATTTATGTCACAGGCTACAGGCCCTGGTTTGCTGCTATGAATTTCTTGAGGACCAGGAAAACTAAGTTAGGTACATTATATCTACGCAATAGAGAAGGTACTTGTCGTTACCCCACTTTTCTCAGGTGAATAATCTAAGGTTTTAGTGAGATGAAGTGACTTGTCCAAGGCCTATGCACTGACCTCCACACCCTCAGGCCCCAGTACCAGGAAGACATAGGACAAACCTGACTTCAAAGCCTGTGGTTCTCACACTTTGATTAGCTTTCAAAATCAGTGAGATGCAGGCATTACTTTCTACTTCAGTGATAGAAACTGTCCTAAAAATTCAACCACAATATAACTATCCCATAATGATCATTCTTTTGATCATTTTTCCCAATAAGCATGAAGATATACAAAGCACATACTTAAAAAAGTATCATTTACTCACACTTATAGCCCCATACTTAGTTTTTATTTTTCTGAATAATAATTCATTCTTGAACTGTGATCACACAAAAATCTACTAGATTGCAAATATTTTAGTAGAAAAAAAGTTAAGGTGATTTATCTTGCTACCTCTGCTAGCACAGTATGATTTACATCTATACTAATAAAAGGGTAATATGCAAATTGGTCAGCACACCCTCATGGTAATGACTGAACAACAGGCTGTGTGGGGTGACAAGGCCGGAAGGGGGGTTAGTGAGGGACGACCAAACTAATAACCAGCAGGCTGTGTGGGGTGGCAGTGAGGGAGGCAGTGAGGGGCAACCAAATGACCAAATAGCAAGGATGTGTGGGATGACAGGCCAGCAGGGGTAAGTTAGCAGCAACCATACTGGCAGGGGATCCAGTGAGGGACAACCAAACAAATGAATAGCAGGCTTCGTGGGGTGACCAGGCCAGCAGGGGTGTAGTTGGGGACCAGGCTGGCAAAAGGGCCATGAGGGGTGACCAGCTAGAGGGTGGGGGCAGTTGGGGACAATCAGGCCAGCAGCATGGGGCAGTTGGGAGTGAACAGGCTGGCAGGGGGAGCAGTTAGGGGCAATCAGAACAATGGGCATAGGCAATTAGGGGTGATCAGACTCACAGAGGGGCAGTTAGGGGTGATCAGGCAGGCAGGCAGATGAGCAGTTAGAAACCAGCGATCCCAGATTGTGAGATGGGGACATCCCCCTCCACCCCATGCATAGATTTTTGTCCACCGGGCCTCTAGTATTGAATAAACAATAAATAAGTTATCAAATTAAGAAAAAAATCTATAATAAGAAAAATTAACCATATAATTAAAACTGAAGTGTATTGTGCTTTGCATGTGAGAACAATCAAATATATCTCAAATGAATTATTTTAGTGTGCTTCATTATTGCTTTCAAATATGGTTTTGTAATTCTTTGTCAAGAAATAAGTCTATCTAAATTTATTTTGACATGAAGTTTAGCTTTAATTGTTGAACAAATTGATTGTGACCCACTGGAGTAGGGGGACTGGATCAAGTCCAGGCACAGCACACGTTTGGAAAACACAGACTGCTTCATCCTTAGTGCTGGGGAAATGTCTTTAGGAGCAACTACTATTGGTTATCTTCAGGTGTTTGATCCAAAAGCACAATCTGAAAGTTCAGCTAAAACTTATTTTTCCTGCAATATTTGAAAATACAATGGTCAGAACAAATCAAGAAATCTACTAATATGCAAAAGAGTAGGGGAGTTATCTGTTAAAGCCTTAGTTTTCAAAAGTAAAAAACAGGGAAAAAAAAGTAAATATAAACAATCTCATGACAGAAGCTTAGCTCTGCACTTTTTCATCTAATCAGGCATTGAATATATAATATCACATTAGATATATTGATATGCAAAGAGTTAGAATTTTTTGTGAAGTCTTTAAATTATATTTTATTTTGCAAATGAAATCAGCTTACATTTCCAACTTTCTATAAAAGCTTTTCAAAAGGTTGTTAAGTGATTAAATAAATTTTGTCTTTTCTATTATCTGAAATATGGAATTGTATTCTTCACTTTGCTAGATTTATGGAGTTATTTTTATTTGATATAATAAACTTCAGTTTATAAATAAACTTCAAGTCAAGAGATAAATTGAATCTTTCTCCTTTTTTAGTGTTTTCAGAAATGAGGAAAAGCTTTCTTTTTTAGAAATTCCAAGTGACACACAGAGAAAAGATATTTCTTGAACTTATAAATTCAAAATTTATTTTTGCCAACACAGCCTACAGTTAAAAATGGAATCTCCTCCATGAATCACTGACCCAAAATGTAAAACCAAAGCCACATAAATGATTCCTGCATTTAATGTATGGCACAACCATGTCAGTTAATTATAGGCATAATACCAGTTAATAATAAAAGTTATGGATTATTTATTGAGTGTGTTTTCTTCAAGAGACACCATGCAAAATATTTCAACATCACAGAAAACATACTACAACAACTTTATATAGTAAGTGCCAATATTCTACCTCCCTCAAAAAAAGGGAGGTTAAGCAACATTGCACTATTTACCTGATAACAAAGGTAATATGAATCAAAAACTAGAATTTACAGCAAGTATGTACTACTATAGGATCCATGTTCTGAAGAAACATACTTATGCTTTTTACTGAATTTATTGTCATTAAATTTAGTGCAAATTGTATATTAATAAGTGCACAGTAATTTCAGAATTTTCTCTTTGAGCTAAAACATTAGCAAGAAAGCTCAGAGTTCTGAATGAAAATGAATTTAATAGGATTCAATATTAATAATTGTATATGCTCTGCCATCATTGGACTAAAATTATATTAAAATAGTCAAAATTTAAAATAAAAGTTTTATAAATAGTAACTGTTGTTTGGGATAGCTAAAATCTAAGGTTGTGTACCTAATGTCAAAAAAAATATAATCTAGATATGTTTTTGCCAAATTGATGAATTACTTGGATTTTATGCATTTGAATTTAATATTCACATAATTAAACAAGCAGTCTTTAATTGGGCTTTGAAGGTCAGCAGAACTGAGCTAGACAGAAAAGTCAACAAAAATGAATTCCAAGCGGAAACGAAATCACAGAGTTGATTAATTTCCTGAGGCTGCGGTAACAATTACCATAAACTGGGTGACTTAAAACAACAGTAATTCATTCTCTCACAGTTTTAGAGGCTTTAAGTTTAGTATCAGTAGGGCCATATTACCTCTGAAGACTCTATCTAGAGAAGAATCTTGACTTGCCACTTGTAGCATCTGGTGGTTGCTGAGATTCCTTGGTGTTCTTAGCTGGTACAATCTCTGCCTCCTTCTGAATACTGCCCTTTTCTCTGTATGACTCTGTCCCCAGATCTCCCTCTTCTCATTAGAACACAAGTCATCGGATTTAATGCTGTATGACTTCATCTTAATTTGATTACTTCTGCAAAAGCTTATTTACAAATAATGTCAAATTCACAGGTCCTTGTGGATGGATAAGAATTTAGGAGGGCTTATAAGGAGAACATGATTCATTCCAATACACAGAGCCAGACGAGTGTCAGGTCATAAAGCTACTTCTTTTCTAAACTTTGTAGCTCAGATTTTACATTAAAGATGGAGCACAATATGACCAGATTGGCATTTAGAAATATCTCTTGGTCAGTAGGGTAGAGAATCGGTAAGCAGGAAAAAGACCAAGAGCAAGATGATAGGTTAGTCTATTAAAGTGAGTCTGTGGCTGCTATTAAAGTGAGAATATTATGCTAAGTGGAATAAGCCAATCAGAGAAAGATAAATATCATATGATCTCACTTATATGTGGAATCTAATAAACAAAAAACCTGATGAACAGAATAGATCCAGACACTGGAGCATGCAACACACTGACAAATCTCAGAGGGAAAGGGTGAGGGGAGGATGGTAGGATGTATATGCATATCCTATGGAGAGATAGCAATGTGGTGAAGGTTTGGGGAGTGGGCTGGGTGGGAGTGGGTTAGAGGGAGTAAATGGGGTAGCAAAAAGAAAGACATCTGTAATACTTTCAACAAAGACACATTCAATTAATTAATTAACCAATTAATTAATTAAAGTGAGCGCTAGGTTGAAGAAATTTTCAAGAATGATCCTAAATTCCTAGGGAGATTGGTGTCATTCCATAGCCAAATAATACCAGAAGAGCTGATTTGTGGGTCGGCAGGGTGACTAAGGACAGCATGAGTTTCGTGGTAGATATATATACACCATTGCATTCTCAGAGAAAGAAAGCTTTCGGTTAACCCAAGATGTAAGAAGAATTCAGACAGATAATTGGGGAAAACTCACATGAACTCTCACATTCCTCTTGTGAAATGAAACAAATTAATATTTACTTCAATAAAGCAATAGTTTCCGGGCTTAGTCTTTTATTTAAGTAACAAAGACATTAACTTAAACTATCTGAGAATCTGATTTGAACTTTTTAAAAATTATTTTAATTGTAGGCCATGGCACAGAAGGAAGATATGGAAGAAAGGATCACAACCTTGGAGAAGCGTTACCTCAGTGCTCAGAGAGAATCTACCTCCATACACGATATGAATGATAAACTAGAAAACGAGTTAGCAAATAAAGAGGCCATCCTCCGTCAGGTTCAGTATCTCTGTGTTGTTGTTGTTCTGGTCCATGTGTGTGTTCCCACCATTCTCACAAATTGTGGAGTAAATTAAATATGCAACAATTGTTTCTTCACAGTCAATCATTCTCTAAAATTTAGAATGGTGTGAACCAAACATGTGGTTTTCAGTAAGTAATTTAGAAATTGTTCTTAATAATAATAAAAATGACGACTAAAATTTTCTTTGGATCTAAACATGAACCAGAAACTGTGCTAAGTAATTGACATGTATTACCTCACTGAAATCTAACCACCACCTGCGATGTGAGCACAGTTATTATTCTGCCGACAGTAAGGCTCAGGGACATGAACATTTTCTCAAGGTCACACATCGGGTAATTGCCAGAGTCTGTGATGGAAACTAAAGTCTACTCCACTCCAGAGCAGGAGTGGGCAAGCTCTATCCTCTGTGACAAAATGATAGCTCTGTTTTATAAATAAAGCTTTATTGAAACATAATCATACCCATTATTTAATTATTGCCTGTGGCTGCTTTTGTGCTACAACAGTAGAATCAAAAAGTTTGAACAGAAACTTTATGATACACAAAGCCTAAAATAATTACTATCTGGCCCTTCAACAGAAAAATGTTTGCCAATCCCATCTTTTGAGCCAAACCATTATAGTACATTACTTCTCCCTCTCCAGCTAATTATCTGATTCCCAATATTATGCTAATATGGTACCTCAGAAGTGTAAGTACTGATTTGTATTCCATTTGTCCAAGTATTATTCGCTGTTAACTTATTTTCTTTTTGCCGCCTTTGGTAAGGACTTTTCTAAATGTTTTAATGCGCTAAATTTTATTAAGGAATGTGGTTGAGTAATATATTAAAAACACACGGGCAATGATCTTTTTGCACGGTAAATGTGGCAGCTGATTTTAAGTCTGGGATAATGGCTGAAGTCCAAACCCCCTAGTGAATGGGGTCTGTTATACTAACAGTGACCCTTTGTCTCTCTCCCTCCCCTGTTTCAGATGGAAGAGAAGAACAGGCAGTTACAAGAACGGCTTGAGCTTGCAGAGCAGAAGCTGCAGCAGACCATGAGAAAAGCTGAGACCTTGCCTGAAGTCGAGGCTGAGCTGGCTCAGAGAATTGCGGCCCTGACAAAGGTACTGCAATATAACACTCAGTCAGCTTAGGCATGCTCATAGAAATGACTAGTGATCGAAATGGAATTGGTAAAGATTTTCTTTAGTCTTTATGAAAATTAAGTTCATCTAATATTTATTACATTGGTTTCATATTTAGGTGAATTTTTTATACTTTGTATATCTTATTTATACTGACATAAATGATTAATATATGACTGTGATGATTCCCTTGCCTACTTAAACATTAACAAAAATAAAATTTCATGTCCTTATAGTAATTTCCCATGGCAATATTTGCGCATCAGAATAATCACAATATAAATACATAATGAAGATAGTTAACATGTATATACATGATATTTAATATGTGTATACATATTTTAATATGCTGAACATAAATTGATACAATAAATATAGGAAATATCTAAGCAGTTGATTCATTTCTGATTATGGTAAGAAAAAATGTTTAGGAGTTGGAAGTTAGATTTATAGCAGTCTAAGGTCTCCAGCCATTAAATAGTCAGAAAGTGGTTTTAGTGGATACAATATCTTCTGGACTAATTAAAATCCATAGTATTGTATCTCATATTTGCATGAAATGATATAGTTCTTTGCTTTTTTTGACTGACTTATTTCACTTAACATAATATTCTCAAGTTCCATTCATATTGTTGCAAATGGCAGTATTTTATCCTTTCATATAGCTGAATAGTATCCCATTGTGTATATGTACCACATCTTCTTTATCTAGTGAATAATGCTTCAGTGAACATAGGGATGCATATATATATTTGCAAATACATGTTTTCAAGTTTTTCAGATATATCCCTAGGAAAGGGGATCCTGGGTTGTATGGTAGCTCTATTCTTAATTTTTTGAGGAATTGCCATCCTTCTTTTCATAGTAATTGTACCAGTCTAAATTCACATAAGGGTTCCCTTTTTTTCCACAACCTCTCCAACACTTAGTATTGCTTGTCTTATAGATAATGTCCACTTTAACAAATGTGAGGTGGTATCTCATTGTAATCGTGATTTGCCAAAGGGAAGGTAATGGGAGAAGAAGGGGTTATGGTGACAAGAGATTTGACTTTGGGTGATGGGCACATGGTGCAAAATTTAGATCCTGTAACATAGAAACTCATACCTGGGACCTATATGATCATGTGGACCAGTGTCACCCCAATAAATTTAATTTAAAAATAAAAATAAAAGACAAATATTAAAAAGTAAAATAAAATAAAATCCATAGTATTCTGAGGAATGTTTATATTATCTGCTATGTTATAGCCATTAGATTCTGCAATTATCTGCATATTTTAGAATTCTGCAACCATTGTAACCTTTAAAAAACTATTACCTTTCACTGTCAAACGAAATGCCATTGCTTCAAAGTACATATGCAAATCACTAAAATGAAAGTCCATATTTTTTACTAAAAGCATGCTTGACTTTTAACATCAATTGAAAATATATACATATTTTAGAGATTTGCACAATCATTACTGTGTGCTAAGTTGTTTCCTTCACTGCAAGGAAATGGGTAAACTACAAATTACAAATTCTGTCATTAGGGATTATTCAAAGCTCTCGATGTGGCAATACAAGAGTAGGCACACATATTTGATTTCCTGCAAAAGTAAATAATTAAAGAGGAACCTATTAATTAAAATCGGGAAGTCAATCGGGTAGAAAAAAGGCAAACATTTGGCAATGTATTGCAGAGTTAGAAAATATTGGAATAGTTAGTTATCTATAAAGTATTGGAGGAACTAGCTGAATTAAACATTAGGTGGTTAGGGTAATGTTCCAATCCTATCCTTCCATAGTCACATACCATTGCCATAAATTCCTCTGGCAATTCCAGAAGTGTGTGATTTCTAATATAAAGATAAGTTTATTATTTAATTTAAATATCCTTTCTAAATTATGTCAAAATGTGCAAATATATTAGTATCATTCTATTTTTTGTGAAGATATTTTCAATTACTGTGTTATCTGAGATATGTAAAATTAGTCTTTTTATCTGAGGAACCCAAAAAGCTTTTATAAAGTTATTTTATTGAATTCAATTATGTTAGTGGCAACTAAGTGGCTAGATAATAATAATAAAAAACTTTTATAAAACTTTAGTGTAAAATAATCATCAATATTTACTGCATAAAATACAAGAAAGTTTGGAATCTTTTCTAATCAAACACAATTTAAAATTCATCATAAAATTGACCCAAATTTACCTCTGATAGACTGAAATAAAACATAATTTAAAAGGCAATACTTTACATATGAAACTTTAAATTGAATATTCATGAGAATTCTTAATTTAGAATAGTTTTTAACTTGAACTATATATCTCACTTTTTTGCCTTTCATTTTATTCTCTCGGGCTCTTATTTTGATTCATATATTCACTTGTGTACCCAAATAATGTCCTCAGTTTACTACTATCTCATAATATATTGCTGAAATTTCATTTCATCTGGACCTTTTTGATTTCTTCTTTTTACAATAAATATTATTCTTCTTAAAAAGTGTTTAAAATGTATAATTTACTCTGGTGCTCCTTCTTACTGATTTCTCCTCTGGCTGATTCTATATCAACAACATTTCAGATATACCATTTTCAGATGATTGCTGCATTTAATTCATCATAAATGCTCCTTTAGTGCTGAGATTTTTATCATCAAAACACTCCCTCGGTAACGATTTTATAATATTTGAAAATCATTCTTTCATATGTTCCCCCAGGTTTTATGGCCACAACAAAAAAGTGTCATTGCTGATACTTTTTCTTGCCCACTGTTCTCAAGGCCATTAGGGAATGTCTCTAGACTTTGCTTTATTTATTTATTTTTTTGAATGGCAATTTGTTTTTATTATCTCGCTATTATTTATCATCATAGTCTTTTTCTAGTTCTTAATACTTTTGACTATTCACAAAAAAATATTTTTGCCTATTTTAAACCTAGGCTCCTTGCTCTTATATTTTGAATGGTATTCTTAACAACCCACAGACATTTTATTTGGCCTATATATTTTTTCTACTTTTATTATTAGCTGCCTATTTTTTTCTTCTCTTTTGTTCTCCTCTCTATAACTGTCAGTTCTTCTTCATTTCCAAATATATCCACACTCTTTCCAAAACTACTTCTGCCTATGTGACTTTTTTTCCTGAATCTTTAGCTGATTTGGAATTGTCCTGTGCCACATAAGAGTGAACACAAGATAAGTTCTATATCTCATCAAAGAATGTAAAAAATATCAGATTGTTCTTGTGTAATGCTGGTGTTTACAATAATTGCTTAAGTGTAGTCTTTATAAGGAGAAGGTGAACATAAATCAACAGTGGTTGAAGTTGATCCCAGTGTTTGTTCAGAAATGATGTCCAAATCTATTCTTTGGTTGATAAGGGTACTTTCTTTCTCTCTCTCTCTGTGTGTGTGTGTGTGTGTGTGTGTGTGTGTGTGTGTGTGTGTGTGAGGGGAGAGGTAAACTTCATTTAAGATTTTTAGAAAATCAGAAGTATAACTATGGATAAAACTTAAAATTTTGCTTTTGTAAGTATAAACACAATTAACTAATAAATGTTTTGGTCTTCCAATCTTGTTTTTATGATGTTTACTTCTTTAATTATAATGCATATTTCTTCAGTAAGTACATAATTCATCTTAATTCCACAAAGTATTTTATTCATTTTTTGTGCAAGTAAAAAGATCAGTAATGACATAGATATTTAAATGTGACAGAATTCCCATTCAGCTCTGAAGTGAATTTTTACAATGTTTTGATGTATTTTCCTTATTTAAGATAGAAATAGGTAAAACCTTTAAGTATCTTGAAAGGCCTACTAGACGTATTTTTGAAGATACAGTTTTGGAAATTGAAATGTTTATATCTTGACTATCTTGAATCAGTGGTATGATTAATTTTCATACCACTATCTGTTAAATTATATTTTTAAAAATTACAAATACTTTTATGAATTTAGATTATATAATTTCAATAACATTTTGACTCACTAATTGTATTCTTGATTTAATTCTAAGTTGTAAATGCTGTTATAAAACCATTTATGACATTTGGAGACTATGATAGCTTTCTGTTTTGCTTCTGCTTAGAATTTGAAGGAAAAAATATGGTTATTGTTATTTCTTCATTATTTCTCATATTTATAAAATAAGAGTATCAGAAGGAAAAATTAAAATCTGTAAATGTTGAACTGTAACTTGTGTATGCACTCCAGTTAAATGTTAAATGTTATTTGATAGATTCAATTGGAATTTGTTATACACAATAGTACATATGCATGTGAACCAATACATGAATAGGTGACTATTTCTTTTCAGGTACTGAATGATATACTTACATTTAGCCCTATATTTGCATACAGTAAGTTTCACTGTTTTGGAATAAATATATAAAATATAATAAAATATGGTCTATAGTTGAATTTTGTTGTCCTGACATAGAATACTCTTGAGGTTATAATTATTTAATTTGTAACATGTTGATGTACCTTTACGTTAACCTGTGTCTAACATACTAATACAACTCAGCTATCAGCAATGTCACATGTGTTAAACAGTCTGCATCTGTGGTAACCTGGCAATCACCTCTAAGACATGTAACTAACCTTGGCACTGGGGAAACTTCAGCTCGCAAAAGGCAAGATGCTACCTATAATATTAGGACGCTATTTTGTTTCCATAGCAACAAATCAATGCAGAAACAGTTTTGGAGTAGTCACTAGTTCTATTCAGGAGAGTTCACAAATAATTTTTCTTGTCCTCTCAGCATTATATTGTCACCTCGATAATTTGAGAACTTACTAATACTCATTTAAAAGTTCAAATTAAGAATATCTCTGAGAACATACAGACATAAGGTGTATTTAGAGAACACAATTCATTTTGCTGCTGTTGCTGAGGAAACCCAATCCTGCTTGAATTGATACTACTACTAACAATTAACCTTGGGGCTTAGCTTTTCTCTGATTTCTACAGAGTTGAGCTTATAATAAATTTTATTCCAAATTTATTTTATCTGAGTCATTGACTTGGCATATTCCTCAACATTGAGATACATTGTTTCCATTTTTAAGTAATATGATAAACAAGCAAACCAAAATACAAAACTTTTAACAAATCTATCGAGATATATTCTAGTGTTTGGTTTCTCATAATTCCAATTATTACATGACTCTTTCAGAGTTGCTTTAATTCATTCTGTAGTAGTCTGTCATCGCCAGCCATCACTAACCTTCCATACCTTAGGTTGGTAGCTTTTAATTTGAACATACCATTGTTTTTCAATTATAACCATCAACTGCATTATGTTCACCAGATATCAGTGTAGATCTTTCCACATAAAGTTCTGTCTATTAAAATATTAAATTTGCTGTCACACTTTTCTTTTAAGCATTCTGTGCTGTGTTCTGTTTGGTGTCAGTGTCTTTAGTTCTGATTTTTCTATTTTGTCCCTCTCCTTTTCCTTGACTTGTTAGTCTGATCCAACCTCTTCTACCTCATCTGATGATTATCAATATGTTATGGAAGCTAAACTACAAGAAATGATCTCCATACGTAGGAAGGTAGTCCTACTGGACTTTACTTTCTATTGCTAAATAGAATCCATCTAAGTTTTTCTTTTCATTTATTAAAATTATGTTACTTTTATTTATTGATAATCGACCATCTGTGCAGTTCAGTGCTTCAGGAGCTTAAGATTGGACAATGGCAGGTTTGTGTTCAAACCATGCACAGTCTGCATGTTACATTTGGCTGATTTCATTGCTCATAAATAACTCCAATGTTTTGCTGATGCTTGGATGTAACAGGCCTTTGTAGCTGACACATTTCAAGCAATGCTGTTCAGCTGCCTGTTTAATGAAAGTTTATTTTTGAAAACTACATTTGCGGTTGGTAGTAGCTTGCTTTACATTTTATTTCAGTTTATTTAGAGGAAATGTGTTTATCAAGTCTTACATGTCAGGTGCATTCTTCATATTTCTTAACAGGCTGAAGAGAGACATGGAAATATTGAAGAACGTATGAGACATCTGGAATGTCAACTTGAAGAGAAAAATCAAGAACTTCAAAGAGTATGTCTACTAAGCACCTCTACCTCAAATTATCGGTTTATGGGTTTATATGCTATATACAAAAAAATGAACATTTTTCTTGATCATGAGCTGTATCTAAAAAGTTGTGGATATACCCTGTACACTTTAAATGAATTAAGTTTCTAGCAATTTAATTAAAATCAACATAAAATTAAATAAATTTTTAAACTAGAGGAAATGTAAAAACAAACCCAGGTACTTATTTAATGATTTTATGTCAAATGTATTTTTTTTCTTGAATATAAGGCTAGGCAAAGAGAGAAAATGAATGAGGAGCACAACAAAAGGTTATCCGACACTGTGGACAGACTTCTGACTGAGTCCAATGAACGCTTACAGCTACACTTAAAGGAGAGAATGGCTGCTCTAGAGGAGAAGGTAACATGGCAGCAGAGCAGAATCACTTGAACATTTCATAGTGTTCTTGTGCTCACCTTTGTTTTATACAGCTGGAGTCATTACATTGAACAGAGGAGTTACTGGTTTTCCTTAATTAAAAAAAGAATGTTCTTAGAATTGAATGAACTGTTTCTGTAATAATGTAAAAACTAAATTTTTATTTCTTTTTTATAAGATCAATTTTTAAATAAATATAAAGTATTTTATTACACAAATCTTGCATATTAACATGATTATCTGAGACAATTGTGTTAAATGTGCTTCACTTTTGTGTTAAAAATATTTCATTTGTCCTTTGTCTGGTATGCAAAGAAGAAGACTGGTAAGACAAAAATAAATATGTTGGGGTGTACAAGGAGGCTTGTCTTGAATTATTCAAATGTTTTAAATAACCGAATCTATCACTGGTATAAAAGTCAGACTGTGGGTGAGCTTAATGTCAATCTCAGTACAGAATTTAGGCATGCAATATTTCTAGCTGCATTGTTGTTGTATTTAAAGTGCTTCTGTACAGCCTGTAATTTCATTCACATTTACATATGTGTCATTGACAGCAGACAGCTTCCAAACAAGCAAGAGTTATATGAGCTGGTTTCCAGTTCCAAGGTATAAACAAAAGTAGGGGATAAAACTTAAATGCACAAATCATTTTGGAAATTGAGATTGAGTGCCAGTCCCTACTTGAGCTATATATTTCCCCCTGCATCATCCAATAAACCAAAATAGAAAAAAAACCCAGGTTTCAATAAAATGTTAAAGTATTTTGATTAATTTACCCATTAGGGGGTCATATGATGTGCCTTCTTCCCATTCAACTCCAAATGAATGGATTATGCCAATTACTACACTCTTAGTTTAATTTAACTGTAAACTTGTAAACAATGCATGGTTTTAAACCACACTTTATAGTACTATAAGAACATTATAAAGCTTACAACAATAATACTTTTATGGGAAGGATTTTTTAAAATATCTATAAGGCAACTTACAGTATGTTCACATGTTATGATGTATAACTTTTTTTTAGTCATTAAAATTTTACTTTTATTTCTCTACAAAATTAACTATCATATAAATAGATAATTTTGCATTTGAAATAGAATTCCAGAAATTGAGCATTTAAAAATAGGTACTGAGAGGAGTGGAGAAAGGCAGATAAATGGGAGATATTTATAATACTATCAATAATAAAATATGTTAAAATAAATAAAAAATATGATCTTATTTTTGCTTCTTTTTTAAGATAATAAAAACAATCTGAATTCTTTATCAGCAATACCTCTGGACAATATTGGCCTTTTTCTTATTTAAGAATAACCTAGTTATCTCAAATTTTATAGTGACTGAGAGGAGGCACACAGAAATATATTAAGTCCATTTGTCAATTCAAATATTATCAAAAAATAATTCCATTTAAAATATGTATTTCTCAGAATGTTAAGGTGTAATGTTTAAAGATTCCATTGAAACTTGGTTGTCAAGAAAATCAATAAGTAAATGCAGAAAAAATGATGAATAAGATTCTTGAGTGATAAAAATAGTTTATGTATTTAACTATTTTCTGTTTAGTTTGTTAATTATTTCTATTTTTCTTTCCTCTTCTGTAGAATGTTTTAATTCAAGAATCAGAAACTTTCAGGAAGAATCTAGAAGAATCTCTACATGATAAGGTATTATGAAAACTTACATTTTACCTATTTTTCTATTTCACATTGGTGAATGTTTTATAAAGTAAGTTTCAATAGAAGTCTTCTTTTTAAAACAATTTTAAATGTTATATTATACATACAAAGAGTTTATATATAGGGAAAGCTTGATGAATTTTTACAAACTAAACACACTAAAAATCATCATTCTGGAAGCCCTCCCTCCCATTAATATACAATCACTACTGAAATACTAAAGGGTAATCACTATCTTGACTTCTTAAAGAAAAAAAATTGTTTTTTGACTTGTTTGTGCTTCTTATAAATGGAATAAAAAATGTACACAATTTTGTGTCTATCGTTTTAGAAGAAATGTATTAAATACCTATTATGCATATGAATTATAAGATATATTTTCAAACATGACTCTAGTTCCAAGTAGCTGAAAATTTTAATTGAGGAGAGAGAACACACCTTTGACAAAGCAATGGGCTGCCAATTAGCAGATACTGAGTGTCAAATTAGTAAAATAGACAATAATAACTACAGTAGGAAAGATCGCCATACATTCCTGCTATAAAGAAGTCTTTAGTGATGTGGGACTTGACTAAAACTTTAAGAAAAGGTAGGACTGTGTTGCAAGCCTTTCAAATACAATACATGTAGCATGCTTGCAGGTGCTTGGTGGGGAAATGTGTGAACAGTGAATTTGATATCTTAAATAATAATGGGCATAATGGTTCAGCTGGAATCATTACTTCAATTCTAAGATATGTGGCAGAAGAGAAAGATGAGGGTCACATTACAAAATGTTAAAAAAAAAAGTTGTGATTGGTAATATATCTTTAGTCTCCATTAGCCTGTAAGATTCTTGTTAGCAATTTTGTTCTAATTTTATTTTATTATTTGACAGAAGCAAATAAAATAGTATAAAATTACTAACTTATGAAATGACCTACAAATGTGTGTTGAACAAAAGTTGGAATAGAAAGAGAGAAGGGAGAGAGAGGGGGAGGGAAAGAGGAAGTGAAGGAAATGAGAAGGAAGAACAGACAAGTGTAACATATGAAAGGTATTTGAAAGCTTAAAAGAATAAAGATAATAGTGAACAAATAGATTAACAGTGAATTTATGTACATACTTGAGGCCTGGTGCACAACATTTGTGCATGAGGGTGGGTCGGGGGAGATCCTCAGCCCAGTCTGCTCCCTTTCACATATTGGGGGGTGGGAGTGGACTGGGGGAGGTCATTTGGGGAAAGGGGAGACATATATAATACTATAATATATGTAATACTTAAAAAAAAAATTCGGTCTCACAGTCAATGTGTACACAATCTCCCAAAAGATAGATCTACTAGAGCAGTATAATATGATGCTTAGAAGATAGCATCAGATTCTCTTTGAAGTAGTAGAGAATGTCTACATAGAGGGAAATGACATTTCTTCAGGCTCTAGAAGGCAGATATTTCCTCATATAGAGAAGGGTAGGACAGAGAAGAGAGCCTATGTAATAGCACAGAGAAAACAAAGATGGCTGATTTGCTGTATCATTAGAAGTTTGCTGAGACTGGTATGTGTGAAAAAGAATTAGATTTTGACCAGATTGTAAATTTTGGACTTGATCCTGTTATGCAGTATTGTTATCCAAAACTCTGTGTGTTTCTGGCAAGATATTCAGAACCCACTCCCTCACCACCAACCTACCTCAGCCTTTTAGCATCAACAATCTGCCTAAGCAACCGGCAGCACCAATCACTCCATGCTTCACATCCTTGTTCATGTCAATTGCCAGAAGAAGCATATTCATGTCATACTTCATTTCTGAATATTATCTCATATAGTCAAGCATACTTTCTAATCTAACCATATTTCCTATCATGCTTGAAATTCCTACTCAATTCTCAATAGTGCATTATCCAACAAAATCCCCTGTGTACACAACCCCTTCTCTCCATTTTTCTCTTCTTTATTCTGATCTCTTAAATTTGAAGTTCATCGTACTGTCCTTGGATTTCTTCTCTATGTTTAGTCCCTGGTGAACTCATATGAATTCAAATAGTTTAAATACTATTTATGAATTGAGTACTTCAAAATTTAGATCTCCTACTGGGTTTCCTACCCAGGAGGAGTTCATATATGCAAGAATCTACTTTTTTTTTTTTTAAAGAGTCTACTTAATATCTTTATTTAGAAACATAGACAACTCAAACTTAACAGATTGATCCATTACATAAACACTTAATCTGACCTCCAGTATCAGCAATCTTCTCGGTAAATCACTTCTTTCTCTTAGTTACTCAGGTTAAAAGCCTATGAGTATTCTTAATCACATTCAGCCTAATAGCAAATTTTGTTCTATTTTCAAAATATGACCAAATTCCAGCCATACTCTCCATAACACCATTGTTGTCCAAACCATAATTCTCCTGCCTATGTTTTTTTGGAAGAACACTAATAATTGCATTTCTTCCTTTCCTCCCAATCAGTTCAAGTTCATTTTACAGCCATCCAAATGGCCATGCCACTTCTCACCTCAAAAATCCTCTAGTAATTTCTTGTCTCACTCAGAGTAAAGCCAAAAGCTTTAATGGTTTACAAAGCCATTCAGGACCACTCTTCTCAAACCTTGTAATTCTACTTTCTACATTTCGCATGCCTGCCTTTGTTGTTAACCTCCCCAATCCAGCCCTGCTAGCCTCTTTGCTCACTAAATATAATCCCACTAAGAGACATTTGTACTTGTTGTTCCTTCTCTCTGCCATGTCTTTTCCTAAGATATTCCAGTGTTTATAATTGTCTTCCTTTCTACAGTTCTTACTCAAATATCACTTTATTGAATAGCCTTTCTGTGTTTCTCCTATTTTCTCCTTCCTACCAACATCCTTAAGGCAATATTATTTTATTGTGTTTTCTGCCAAATTATAAATTACATGGGAGCAGGACATTTGTTAGTTTATGTTAGTTTATTACTGTATCCTAGGTGCCTATACACAAGAGGTTCTTAATGCATAATAGTGGAAATAACAAACTGATTAATAAGTATAATAAGAAACTGTTTAATATTTTTTAAAGTATTGATCTAATTATACATCATTTTTTGAATGATACATCTAACAGAAGAATATGTGGGGAAAAGATTGAAGGGAGCATCACCTCCGTGGAAGCTGGTAAAATAGTCAGAAAAGTAATAAAAAGGATGTAGGGTAGAAGGGTGGTAGTAAGATTGAAAATAATAGATATGAGAAGCTTTACAAAATTCACAATGACAAAAAAATAATGCAATGAGAAAAAAGTATGAGTCAAGTAAAATGGCAAAGCCACTTAGAGAGGGGGAAAAAACAGCAATAGAAAATCAAGGACACATTTAAACACCTATATAATAAAAGCCTAAGTGATCTTTATGGTGGAACAACCAGAATGACTTGTCTTGTCACTATGATGCACACTGGCCACCAAGGGGCAGACGCTTAAGGCAGGACCTGCCCCTTGATGGCCATTGAGCTCCCACAGGGGGAGTGCTGCTCAGCCAGAAGCTGGGCTCACAGCTGGCGAGTGCAGCAACAATGGCGGGAGCCTCTCTTGCCTCCATGGGCAGCACTAAGGAGCAGTGAGCCAAAAATTAAGGAGCAGTGAATAGGCAGGCAGCAAGGAGCAAGAGGTCCCAGACTATGAGTGGGCACAGACTGAGCTGAGGGACCCCTCCCCAGTGCACACATTTTGTACACCAGGCCTTTAGTTTATATTATAAAAATTATAATTATGAAAACAAAATTAAGTGCTTACATGAGCACTTAAAGGCTATAAGACAACTCTTGATAAATTTTTAGTCTGAAACTGATAATGCCAATCTGAGAAAATTATCAGTTGCACAAATAATTGTGCTATTATCAAACTGATACTTTAACTCATTTTTTTCCTCATTCTTTTAATTCAATCCTCTTCCTCCTTCACTCATATGTCCTCCTACTCTTTACAGAATAATAGAAATCCTTTATTGACTGCATAAATAGGACCTTTTCTTATTTTTTAATCCAGCTATGGTTTCTACTCTATATTTTTAAGTGATGTAAACATAGCTGGTCACAATCTTAGTATGCATGTTTGTGTGTGTGTGTCTGTGTGTGTGTGTGTGTTTAAAAATTGATGAATTCCAGTAACTGTAGATAGCATTTTGCTGATTTCTGCTGTTCACATTTTCATTACAAAGAGAAAATTCAGGCATGCTTTAATTTCATGAGTAATTGTTTTTAATAAAATTATATCCATTAGTTTTTCCATCTTTTTAAAAAGCCACTAAACTTGGTGGCTGGCTGGCTTGGTTTATTATAATTGAGTTTTGGTGTTATTGGTATTTGCATATCATTTGAGTAACATTTTTTTAATTTTTAGGAAAGATTAGCAGAAGAAATTGAAAAGCTGAGATCTGAACTTGACCAATTGAAAATGAGAACTGGCTCTTTAATTGAACCCACAATATCAAGGTAACATTAAATTAAAAGCTTATCTGCAATTGACTAAAAACCAATATGAATCTCCTTGTGGTTAATATATTCATAAATAAAATAGACAAGTACATGTATCTGCCTTATTTTGACTCCTCACCAATTAAGTTTCTACATTCAAAAATAATTGTATAATTTAGAAATCCTTTCTGCAGATATGCAATAAAAGTTGAAATCACTACCTTTCATATTCTTCATTTAATTATATAGATAGAAGATATAAAAACAATCCTATATAATAAAGAGCTAAAATGCTAATTAGGCCAGACAGCAGAAAAATCGTTCAGACAACCTTCCAAATGAAGCTGATGCTGCGAGGGCCAGCAGAGGCAGCTGGGGCTGCGAGGGTCAAGCCCCTTGCACAAATTTCATGCACAGGGCCTCTACTGTTAAATGAAAAATGAACTGTATGGCAGATTGCATCTTATTATGTGAAGAATTATCAGCTCTTTTTTCTATATGCAGAAATGTTACTGAAGAAATCTCATTGATTATGGTCATTTATAGTCAAAGAGTATATAACTATTTTGGTAAAATAATCTACACTAATAAAAGAGCAACATGCTAATTGATCATGCCTTCATGACACCCACCAGCCAATCAGAAGTGAGTATGCAAATTAACCCAACAAAGATGGCAGGTTAATTTGCATACACAGTCATGCAGCTGTAGGTGGGGTGGGATGCTTGCATCATTGCCATGATAATCACGGAGGCATTTTGCACTACCCTAGCTGCTCCAGGCCTCTGGGCAGCATGGGAAGGCAGAAAGGCGGCTGGTGGTTATGGCAGCCAGGGGAAGGAAGTCCCATTCTTGCACAAATCTTTGTGCATTGGGCCTCTGGTTTCACATAAAAAGGAAAAGCAAAATTATATTTGCTAAAGAATTCAAGTTGATTTAGCTCTACTTAACTACTTTGACTCAATACCTAATCTTTAAAAAGAAGCAATGAGACAATTGTTTCTCTCTAGATAGAATTCAATAATTAATATATAAGTTTCTTTTTTGCTTAGAGCCTTTTATTCAAATTCTATAAGAAACCCTAGAAGGGCTGAGTCATTTAACATTTATTTATTGAGGAATACAATGAGATCAGCTATTTGAAACTTTTGACACCACAGATTTCTAGATGTTCATGTTTCACGGTCATATGCTTATGTTAAAAACATTAGTTTCATGAGAGCTGAAGCTAATATTCTTAATATTTTTGTTTTTAATTACTATAATCTCAGCACCTTAAAAAATGGTCATATATTGCCCTAACACGTTTGGCTCAGTGGGTAGATTATCTGCCTGTGGACTCAAGGGTCCCAGGTTTGATTTCAATCAAAGGCATGTAAGTAGTGTGCAGGAGGCAGCTGATCAATGTTTCTCTTTCATCAGTGTTTCTAACTCTCTATCCCTATCCCTTCCTCTCTGTAAAAAAATCAATAAAATATATTTAAAAACAAACAAAAAAACTGCCATATAGTGTGCTCTCAATCAATATTGTTGAATGAATGAATATCTGATAAAGCATTTTTCAGATGTTCCAATGAAAAATCTGAATTAAAAAATAATTCTGAAGGAGCTTATATTTTTCAGTGTAAGTTCTGATGAAACATTCAGTATTTTATGTTTTCCTTCAAACATAAATACATCCAATTTTTTTAAAATAGATAGGTCTTTACTTTAAAAAATCATGCTTATTTTAAAGGAAGTATTCTGACTATGAACTGAAATTAATTCACATGGTGATAATGATTATGATGACAGAGAAGAGAAAAAGAGCTGATAAAATAGCAATGAATGAATATTATTAAATTAACAAATTAAATGTATTTTAATAGGATCCAATGGTCATTTCATTGTTTTACTTTCAATTTCAGGAATGTAGAGTTCTAGAGGTGTTGTCTAAAAGTTCACGGCTGCAGTGAATCATCATGAGCCATCTAGCAATGTGACATTTATTCACAATTACAGAACGACACAGTACAACTTTTCTCTATGCAGCAGACTGTAGTGGAAATAACACTACACCAAGCATTCTTAGGTTTCAGATATATAATTATTATCTGTTTGATTTTGGAAAACCCATTTTCTTAATAAGATTCTAATTTTGTATATATTTTACATGAGTTACATATAAAATACTGTTTTTATGACTATCCCATAAGCTAATACTTTGCAGATAAAATGAGAAGTAATCAAAGGGATTTTGTGAACAGTAAATCACATCAAACGTATAAAGTATAATAGGAATTATTAAGCTAAACTGTTGGCATTTGTAGTAAGTTACAGTATAACTAAATATTTATTAAATAGCAATTATTTGTTGGACCTCCATGTTTTTGAGTGCATGTAATTAAGAAAGAAACAATAAATAAAACAGATGGTGCATGATAACTTCATTGACTCATGTTTGATCTTCCAGTTGAGGAGGTAGGATGAAATGAGCTAAAGTATCTCATCTGAATAGAAAGTAAAATAAGTTGCAGTGTCTGGAGACAACCTGATTTGGCTGAACTCTGAAGAAAGGGTAAGACGTGGATAATTAGGACAATAGAGGACATTCTAGAAGCAGAGGGATGGATTTCTGGCTTACTCTAAGAAAATTCATATTTGAATTATTTATGGATGCCTTTTGTGCGATAATGTGCAAGAGTCACAGGAGATTCACAAGTGAAAACATAAACCTCTGGAGTGATCTCAGAGGGTCAGGGCAATCCATCAGTTTTCTTTCTTTAAGTCTATTTCCTTGAGGCTTTATTGCCAGTTAAGAAGTGAATAGTGGTTTGCTGATAAGTTTAACTGTGATTGACTGTGTTTCACGTTTCCCCTTTTTTCCAGGACTCACCTGGACCCCTCCGCTGAGTTGCGCTATTCCGTTGGATCCCTCGTGGACAGCCAGTCTGACTACAGAACCACCAAAGTAATAAGAAGACCACGGAGAGGCCGCATGGGTGTGAGAAGAGATGAGCCAAAGGTTAAACTTTTTATTTCGAGTCTCTGATGGTTTTAAGTAGATACGTTATTTCATTTTGGACAGAATTTTAATACTTAGAAGATAAAAAATGCTAACATTTTTATTAATGTGACATATGCTATGTTTTAAAATAAATAACAAACCTGAAACCCCTATTGTATGCCAGAAGTTCAACTAAGCATTTCCCATGTATTTATCCACATAATATTATGAATTGAGTACTATATTTATGCTCATTTAAAATATGAAAATATTGAAGTTCAGAAATTTTGTATTCAATTACACAGCCAGTAAAGTAATAGATTCAAAACATGAGCTTATGTTTGCATTATTTTAAATCCCATGCTTCTATCCATTATGCTATTTTGGCAATTGTATTTTTTTGGTTGCTTGGGAACCTAGGCAATGGCATTCATACTGTTGATTAAAATTAATTAAATATTTTAATTGTAATTACTACTTTAAAAGCACTTGAGTAAAATGTACACAGAGTATCAAAGGTGTTTGCAGAGAATTGTCCAAGATCAACTGCAGTGCCAGCCTTACATTCACTCAATAACTTCAGCTTTGTAAGCTATGCGTGTTCAGTAAGTATGTATCGATAGTTGCATTTGATAGAGAACATAATTCTTCAGTGCCGTAAGTATATTTGTTCTTCCAAACCATTTGTATGTGTCTGCGGGAGCCAAATGCAGCGGGGGCCAGACATGGTGGGGATCTTCCTTTTCCGTGTCCTGCATGGAAAGAGAGATAGACAAACCAGTTCTAAGTGGAGGCTGACAGGGATCGAGAAATATTAGAAATAAAGAGAGAAGACACAGAGAGAGATTTTAAGCTGGGAGCTGGGTGGGCCGCCATCCTGTCTGCTGGAGAGGCAGGAAGAGGACAATGGTGATCCCTCCCAGTGCATTTATTTTATACCCCCAATACCAGGAAGTTTTCACCAACTTATTTGCATTCTTAAGTAGGCCCTAGCATGCCTGGTCCCACCCCTGCCAACACCTGGGCTGATATGAAGGCCAAGCTGACAACATGTCTACCATCTTGGGGAAATATGTTCCCAGGGCGTGGCTCTGCCTACACCTTGAGTTCAACTGACGATAATTAAGGAAAATTGCCCATGTGCCTTCCCAGGTGGCCCTCTATATGTGTCCAAAACACTACATAACTACTTGTCTTTATTTGTACAAACCCTTTATTTCTTTTTCTTTTTTAACACTTTGTTTTTTAATTAGTACCTATATGTCACGTACAAATTCATGCCTCATAAAAGGCAATCAGTATCTGTTGAATGGATAGATAAATAAACAATAGAAGAATAAATTAAGTTCATCTTAGTTCTTTTCTTATTTTAATGAAAAATAAATTAATACTACTTTGTACCAAAACAATTTGTGAAATAAAAGCTAATTCAGGTTTTTAAATCTTAAATAAATGCTCAAGGCAATATCATTATATCATCACAAGATTGAAAAAAAAAATTTTAAAACAGCAGAAAACTATAGGATCTCACTTTTACTCCTAAACCTCTCATACTTTGAGATTACAGCTTCAAAAACGTTGGTCTATTGGTTACTCGGGACTTTCCTTCACATGAGGTCTTATTATATCAGTTAAAATGTTGGTATGCCTTGAGCTTAAAAAAATTAATCAGGCATTTGAGTAGGAGAGCAATGGAAATGAAATAAAATTACTTTGCAAAATTTTTAATAATATTTATTTCAATTTATGTAAATGACTGTTGGGGAGAGAATTTATGTATAATTTTCTGTGTGATAATATTAGTATTCTGAGTCTATAATACAAAAGTGCAGATAAGATGAATTAGTACAAGAAATGGGAATGCTTGAGTACATGTCAATAGAAAGGGTTAATTTGTTAAAAAAAAAAAAAGGAGAAACGTTACAAGCACAAATGCTTTAAAGTAATTCTTACATCAGTTTGAGATTGAGCTAGAAATCATGGAGAAGTTTTACATTTATTATTTTTATTTATATTAAACTGCAGACACTATCTCCCATATATAAAATGCCAAGGAGTTATTTTATTGAACCAATACATTAGAATGTTAATAATCAGTTCAGCTTTTGCCAAGTAATATATAAAAGCATGTGTGCTTTTGTGTTGTTTTTTTTAGAATATTGCTTTGAAAATGAATAATGTTATCAATACTATAATTGTTCACCATTCAGGTAAAATCTCTTGGAGATCATGAGTGGAATAGAACTCAACAAATCGGAGTGCTAAGCAGCCACCCTTTTGAAAGTGACACAGAAATATCTGATATTGATGATGATGACAGAGAAACGATTTTTAGCTCAATGGATCTTCTCTCTCCAAGTGGTCATTCTGATGCCCAGACTCTAGCTATGATGCTTCAGGAACAATTGGATGCTATCAACAAAGAAATCAGGTGAGTTCAGTTATTCTGGCGATAATAATTAGGAGACCTGGATATTAAAAATATGATCATCATATCAAAAGCATTGGCATCGATTGAGAAGATAATGGAACTGCAGAATTTCATACCTCCCTCTACATATACTGATTCGGAATATGCATTTTCATACCATTCCCTGGATGTCTAAATATATCCTATATAAAATTAAGGTAGCTTTTGTATACATGAAACATACAGACATGATATGAGGCGATATGAAAGAATAAGGTAAATATTAAATCTTCTCCAATGAATTTTAAAGCACTCTTTAAATTTAAATTTACTGCCAAAACCTATTTGACTCAGTGGATAGAGCGTCGGCCTGGGGACTGAAAGGTCCCAGGTTCGATTCCGGTCAAGGGCATGTACCTTGGTTGGCAGGCACATCCCCTGTAGGGGTTTTGCAGGAGGCAGCTGGTCGATATTCCTTTATCATTGATGTTTCTAGCTCTCTGTCCCTCTCCTTTACTCTCTGTAAAAAAATCAATAAAATATATTTTTAAAAATTTACTATTTAAATGGTATTGGTGGTGATAAGATACATTACCAAGGTACATCTAGCACTGATGTAAAGGTACGAAATAGCATGCAAATTCATGTGCTCCCGACTCCTTAAAAGTAGACATTGGTGTGAAATTAACCATGACTGAATTATTTCAAAAAAGATATTTAAAAAGCTATATAGATAATGAATGATTTTTAAAGAGTAGAGTAGAAATTGTACAATTTAACATTCAAGTATTGAGAAATGTCACTGTGATCATTTAAATTTTAACTTACGCATTTTCTTGAATTCCAATGTCATCCTTGGTCTGTTTCTATCATTGCCTAATCCCAGTGAAGGATTTGTTTTCCTTCAAACTAGAAAACTATTCTTAATTTGTTTTTTCAACTGATGAGCATTTTTTTACTGGTTTGAACAATGCCTTTATTTGCTCTTTCTGATTCCAGCTTTAATCTGTTGATCTCTTACTTTGATTCAAATTTACCTCACTTCCCACTATCATCACCATATTGTACATTATAATAGTTTCTCATCTGGATGACAATAATAGTTTTACCTGGTTTCTTTGTAGTATTTGGAGTTCCAAGCTAGTGTCAAATTGATACTGCAGTCAGAGCAGTCTTTTTAAAACCCAAATGTACTGAGGTACTTTCCTCTTTTAAGCCATTCAGTTTCTCTTAAAGTAAAGATCAAAATTCTTTGATGGTCTGCAATGCCCCATCTACTTCAGCATTCTCTTCCCTTCACCTGTCCTGGTTCATGTTCCATTATACATGACTTTCTGTTCTTTAAATGTTCCATCTATTCCCTTTTTTGTGACTATTCTTTTCTTCTGGAATATTCTCCTCAATCCACACTGTTCTACCCTAACTCTTCACCCACTTTATACTACTCACCATGAACATCTCGCCATCACTTCTGTCCTTCAGTTCACTTTTCTGTCCTTCAGTTATTTGTTTTCACTAGATCATATGTTTGTTATATATGAGATAGGAGGTATATCTGGTTTTGCTCACTGTTTTATTTCCAAAACTTACCATTTTGCTTGATAAATAGAAAGTGCTTCATAAATATTTGATTATTATAAATAGAAAAATATATAAATCATGAGTTCTAAATAAATAACACTTCCTGATGCTTTGCAGCTAATGGTTGAATTCACTAAATAGATTAAAAATCAAGTATGCATCCTTGTCATATTTGTTTTCACACACACACACACACACACACACACACACACACACACACACACACACAAATACACATTCCCAATGGCAGGTGATGTTACTCCAGGGACTCAACTTTCTTGCAGTAGGGTAGAAATCCCCAGCAACAATCATGGCCTAGACTAATTAAGTTGATACCCAAATAATGAATTCAAACTATTGTCTTTTAATATGTTCATCCCTGTCCCCCTTAATGTAGAGTAAAATAGTTGCTGATTGTAAGACATTAAGAAATACATAAAATTTGAGTACATAGCAACATTTAAAAGAAATAGGCACCTTAATATAAACTGTAGTATTATGTTAAGAATAATTGGAATGTATCTCTGGTTAGAATTTTTCTTATTTCACAAATTAATTATTTCACAAAATAGTTTTCTTTTAAATCCTTTTCTCTGGCTTCTTTCAGTTCATTGATTCTCTTTTTTTTAATTTATGTTTTAAATATATATTTTTATTGATGTCAGAGAGGAAGGGATAAAAAAAGAGATAGAAACATTAATGATGAGAGAGAATCATTGATGGGCTGCCTCCTGCATGCCCCCTTACTGGGGATCAAGCCTGCAAACTGGGCTTGTGCCCTGACCAGAAATCAAACTCAGTGCTCAAACACTGAGACTCATCCACTGGACTTACTGATTCTCTTAAAGAAAGAGATCAAATTACTTAAAACTCATTTATCACTGCAACCTCATTAATCTGTTCATCTATAGTTAGCTACTATTGGTCCAATTTACTTTTGTCGTTTTATTTATTCATTCAGCTTGTCTATGATTCCTATGAGAATCCCTTTCCAACACTCTAGGACATTTTAAAGGGAATCTATTTAGTTATTTCATTTGCTTTCCACATTTACATCGGGATTAGAAAGATCAATGAATCAACATGTATTTTTTTCCAAATAAATTGAACATCAAGGCAACATTCAATTTTCTATTTGACTAAACTTTGATGTACCTCTTACTCAACTTATTTCTCTACGTTTGACTTTCCTTTACAATTAATAGGATACTAGCATTAATAAGTACAAATTCTTTGAACAACAGAACCACATCACCAGATTTTTCTGGAGTCATTATCCACCATCATTTTTAATGTACAAAACAATTCATTTTTTTAAGAGGAGTAAGTTTTTCCATTGGCTTGTGTTTAATGCATTAATGATGCTATAGTCTGATACTTGATAAAGCCTTTATTTTAGATTCTGATCTTTGACTCAAGTTAAAGTGCACCCATGAAAATAAACTTCAAAGTAGCAGAAGTTAATTTTTTATGTAAGTAAAACATAACTAAGGTAAAATTTGCTTTTTAATATTTTTATTGGACTGTATTTGTTTAGAGCAGTTTAGGATTCACAGCAAATTTAACTGAGGGGAAGTACTGAGATTTTCCCATATTTCCTCTAACTCCATACATGCATGTTCTTCCCCATAATCAACACCCTACATCACAGTAGTATGTTTGTTACAACTGATGAACCTAAATTGACACATCATATTCACCTGAAGTCCATAGTTTAAGTTATGGCTTATTCTTGTTATTATGCATTCTATGTGTTTGGAAGAATGTATAATGACATCTACCTATCAATATGGTATCAAAGAGTATTTTCGCTGCCTTAAAATCTGCTGTGTTTTGCCCATTTATCCTTCTCCCCATCCCAAATCTTGGCAACCACTGCTCTTTATACTGTCTCCATAGTTTTGCCTTTTCCAGAGTACCATATATTGTTGTAATCATATAATATGTAACCTTTTCATATTGGCTTCTTGCATTTAGTCATATGCATTTAATGCTCTTCTATGTCTTTTCATGCCTTGATAACTCATTTTTTTTTATTGCTGACTAATATTCCAGTTTATTTATACATTTACTATTGAAGGACATCTTGGTTGCCTTAAAGTTTTAGCAATTTTAAATAAAGCTGCTCTAAATATCCATGTATAGGTTTTTATATGGACATAAATTTTCAACTTATTTGAGTAAATACTAAGGAACATGATTACTGAATCAAATTATAAGGTTATGTGCAATTTTATAAGGAACTGCCAAACTGTTTTCTGAAAACTTTCAATGATCATAACTTTGAGGTTAAAGATTATATGTCATTGGAGATCCCAATAAGCCATTTGTAGGTAAAAGGAAATTTTTCAGGAGGTTTCTGTCCCCATTTTTTTCAAACAAGCTAGACTGGTACATGGTTTCATTATAACAATATGTAAAATTTGTATAGGTTCAACTTGAATAGTAACGCTATTCAACCTAGCAGAAGCTCTTTCTTTTTTATTTTTGTATAGCTAATATATACACCTTCTTGAAGCTTGTTTCTATTTAAGCTTTGTCATTTCAAAAGGGTCTATAGCAACAGTTTAATTTTATAATTATCTAACATCCGTCATCTCCACATTTTAAAAAAAATATATTTTTTATTTCAGAGAAGAAGAGAGAGAAACATCAATGATGAAAGAAAAGCATTGATTGACTGCCTCCTGCACGCCCCCTACTGGGGATCGAGCGCGCAACCTGGGCATATGCCCTTGACTGGAATCGAACCTTCTTGGACCCTTCAGCTTGCAGGCCAATGCTCTATCAACTGAGCCAAACCAGTTAGGGACATCTCCACATTAATAAATTGCATGGTGTTTATTTTAAGGTTAAGCATTAATGTTTGAAAAATGGCTTGGTCATTTATTTGTCCAAATGAAAATGATGAATGACCATTTATTTAGGATTTTACCAAATCCACTTTGTTATTGGGTTGGAGGTAAGATTTAATAACTTTGTTGGAATCTGAGTTTCTAAAACTCACTTACCAGTGCAGGAGTTCAAATGTAAGTTTAGGATTAATGGCATAAATTAGTTATGAAGGCAAGAAGTTTTTCAGGTTAAATAATATAGAAGTGGAGAGGAATTATGTGTCACTTAAAAAGTGATTTTCTAACTTTCAGCCAAGAAGCCCTTGGATTTAATGAAAATTATATTCCCTAGAAAGAGGGAAAAAAAAAGATGAGACTAGTAGATTTGACATAAGATATTCACAGAATTTTTATTGACTCATTAGCATTAACAGAGCATATAATGGATCAAAATTAAACTGTATCTTTCAGGCTCATTCAGGAAGAAAAAGAATCTACAGAGTTACGTGCTGAAGAAATTGAGAACAGAGTAGCTAGTGTGAGCCTGGAAGGCCTGAATTTAGCACGAGTCCACCCAGGGACCTCCATCACTGCCTCCGTCACCGCGTCCTCACTGGCCAGCTCGTCGCCCCCCAGTGGACATTCAACGCCAAAGCTCACCCCGCGAAGCCCTGCCAGGGAAATGGATCGGATGGGAGTCATGACACTGGTATGCTGACGCGTCCAGAGAACCTTTGCTGCCACTAGGATTAATGATACATTAGTTGATACTGACTGGGCTAAGGGCTTTCTGCGTACTTTATGGTTTCTTCCTTTTACAACAATCTATGTGGTAGGGACAGTTATTAATCCCATTATGAGATGAGGATGTATAATCTATGTAGATGTAATTTTCCCTAGGTTATATAGTTAAGTAAATAGAACAGGTTAATTAAAAGACAAATAGGCAAAATAATAGTTGATACACCGTAAAATCCAGCACAAGCTGAATTAATGGAGGATAAATTAATCACACTACAGAAAAATCTGAAATGTATATTGTGTTTCTGAAAAGAAGGTTGCGAAACTTCTATAAAAGTCCACAATAGGTGTGTGTGTGTGTGTGTGTGTGTGTGTGTGTGTGTGTGTGTAATATATTGCCAAGATGTTTAATTCACTTTCTCATGACATTTTTAAATAAATATGTTGCAATCATTTGCGATATGGCTAATGAATTATATAGATGAAAACTACCTTATAAATAATTGATTTTTAAGTTTCCATTTTACCTTGATGACATTTCTGTTATGTATATAAATGTAGGTATCTCTTTCTTTGATTATGTAATTGAGAACATAAATAGAAAACTATTTATATGGTGAGGCAATATTGCCCACACCAAACTTTGTATTTATGGGACTTCCATGAAATAAAATCTATAGAAGAGAAATGGTGAATTTTTTTTTAAAGGGAAACATTTATCTCCTTAAATATTAAGCCAGTGAATCCTCTAGTCTCTGCTGACTTCTATGCTTAATATTAAAAATAGAAGCACAGACAATAGCCATTCAGAAAAAAAGACAAACCAATCAGAACCAACTCCAACCAGATACAGAGCAAAATTGTAGCCAATGTACTAAGATATACTAAGGCAGTAACTGAGCTACATTATGATCTACTTATTTTAAAAATTTAGACATCCCTGTGATTTTATTAACTAGAATGACATTGTCTCTGGCTTAGTTTTTGCCTGTTTAATACATGCTGCATATCGATGACCTACTTGTCAACTACAGTTAAGTAATAAAGAACATAATTTAGTCAGCATTCAAGGCATGGAAACTGGTTGTTTCTGTACTACTATTATTTACTTACATTTTTACAACATAGTGTTTTGAACTTTTAAGTATTTTCATGAACATTAGTATTACAATCCTTAATAGTGTTATTATTTTTATAGTAATAAGATAAAATATTTTTTAATATTTAGATGTGGCATTTGTATATTTGACAAGGGTACCAGTGCTCTTATGAATTTTCTTGAGTAGTCATTTATAAATAAATCAGTGGTAAATGAACATTATCACACTATAATTTCAGTACTTAAAATTACTTAGGACATATTCTGAGGGTTAACAATGTTGAATATCTGACCCAGATAAACAAGAAATGAAATCCAGAAAGTCCTTTTTACCTCCTGAAACTTCGTCATCAAATAACAATAGTGAAACAGATTTTCTTTTACATGTAGAAAATAGTGGAGGAAAAATAATATTGTTGAGTATAATTTATATTTAAATATTCAAAGAAACATTAGAAATTTTAGGGACAGAATGTAGATTGCAAATACATTGTAATTGTTTGGGTTGTCTATGTTTATATGTTTTGCAATCATGTTTATTGTTTTGTTGCATTTATTTTTGTTAGTGTATCCACTTTTACCTCATTACTAATACAAAAGTATAAATGACATGTTAGCAATATCTAATTAGAGCACTGGGTGGGATAAACCTACCCATTTTCTAATAACAAATAAAATGTAAAGTATAATGGAATCGTTTAACAAAAAATCATTTTATTTTCATAAGAAAAAGCAACAAAGATATTAAGTGAATAAGGTTCATATGGAATCATAAAGAATTAGCTTTATAAAATATCCTAAAACTAATTCTTTATGACATTGACAAGAAAATAGCAGCTCCAGAAACATGTTATACTGAGGTCAGAGCTTGTGGTGCTTGGGAAGGGGGGATGCGTCAGAATCCAGGAAGACTGAGATCCCTCAGGATCAGCCCGCCTGCCTCAGGGAGGACGAAGGCTCTGCACAGATGGGGCAAAAGGCAGTGTTTGTAAACTCTGTGTATATAGGACTGAATATGAGTTTACGCACAATCTTTCCATAGCTGTTTCTATTTTACGAGGAGGGTTTAGTTCCATATTTATTTCTGGCTCGCTCACTTTATGCTTCCGGGGCCCGTGTCTCCTAGCTGATGCCTATGCACAGGTGACATGCCCAACCCATGCCATCCAGGAAGTTCCCTCTCTATAGTGTCCTCCGAGAGGAGTGCTCTTATAATGATTTTAACTAGTAAATATTAACAAGTGTATCTAGGAAAATATGGAATAAAAAAAAAGTCAAATTATAGATACTATTTAAACGTGTAAATGGTTAAATGATAATCATTAACTAGTTGTGTTTTATGTTGCTTTTATTACTGCCCATCACAGCCAAGCGATCTAAGGAAACACCGGAGAAAGGTACTGTAAACACTTTCCTCTGACATGCTAGTTGAATATTGTTTTTTTCCTATGAAAGCTTTAAAGTTATATTTCTTGTAGTTTAAATATTATAGTAACATAAAAAAAGAAATAGTAAAAGCATTTTAGCAATATTGAAATATTTAAACATGACCATAAGAGCAAATGTCTTAAAAAAAAAAATTCTCATGCTTTCTTGGGTCAATCATTAGATTATGTGGACTAAGTATCTTGATTTTCTACAGAAGACGTAGAGCACTGTTAGTACAAAAAAATATATATATTTTACTATCTCTACTAGAACAATAGCAAATGTAGGTTGTACTATTATTCAGGGATGGTGCGGCCAACAGGTCAGGAGACAACTGCAATGAAAGGTGACTTGTTAATTTTTCCAAGAGGATGGGCTCACCATGCGATGTAGGGCCACAGGGGAGCCAGTGTGGGTCAGGAGACAGAGAGAGAGGGGGAAAGCATGGGCAGGAGGCTTTATTATGGTTTCTATGGGAAAGAGAAGGCCAAGTAAGGCGAGTAGGGTTAGGTTGGGCTGTTTTGAATAATTTTGGTAGGCTCTTGGGAGAGAGGCTGTCTCTAGTTGTTTAACGCCTGACCCAGATGATTACGGCTGAGGAATGTTGCTCCCTGGAGTGTAAGAGCAGACAGGTAAGATGGTGTGGGATTCATATCTGGATTGATTGATTTTCACGTGGAAGGCCCACTCCAGGGAAGTGGTTTGCTTTCTCTGGGATTGAGCTAGCCCTGAGAAAGGCAATCTCTCCTGGCCCAGGATGGCCCCGGGTGCCAGAGCATCAAGAATATAGAAAATATACAAATGTAGTTAATACACTGCTTTCCTGTTCAGAACAAGATCAAGAGCATAAATATTGAAATAGGGAATAAAATGGACTCCAGCGCTGGGAACATAGAAAAAAAAATCTGAGTAAAATTTCAGTGGGTAAAGAAAGAAAAATTACAAAGCAAGATCCTTTTCAGAAACTCAGCCTCAGGGAATTCAGAGAACAGGTGATTGATTGGTAAGAAAGGTAAGTTATGGAAAGACTACAAGCTAAAAATTGTTGCATATCAGGGCAAGGAGTTACCTGCATGATTTCATTTACACTTCAAAAGAAAACATTAAATTAAGAATCATCAGCTCCATGTTATCGATGAAGACCTTTATTCTTAGTTAGAACATGTAGTACATAATTACCACAGAGAAGAAGCCAGGATTCAAATCCAGCTCTGATTTCAAAGCCTTTCTCTTCAATTTTGTTTCTATGGTGTGAGTGCTCAGCATTATTCAGAGAAACATCTTGTGTACAGTGTTCTTAAAAGTTGGTATTCAAAAAGTCAGCATAGTTTGACTGGCAGATCAAAGAGAGGAGGCTATTTTATAACAATGTGTTTCGGGAGAAAATCTGGGAGCAGAAATCATCATGCTTAGCAGAAACAAAGTGGAAAACAATGGTGGTTAGATCATGGACTGTGAACCATAAATACATGTTAGGAAGAGTATGGAAACACACTTCATGAGTTGAAATGGAATGTGAGTTCAGAAAGTGTTTTTCCATAGCATTGATATAATGCTGGAAATAGTTCTTATCAAAGGTTCTTTGGGTGACACTGTTAGCTGAAATGGAGAGAGAAAATCATATGAAGATACCTGCCTAAACGTTGAGTGTCATCTAGACTTGGATGACAAAAGCACTGAAAAACAATTTCATTAAGTTTCTCCAATGCATGAGGTCTGCATCATATATAAGCACATTTAAGCAAAATAACTTAAGGTAGAAACAAGCAAGACATTGCATAGACATAAAAAGAGAACACAGCTTTAAAACTCTTGCTATAGCTATATTTAGAATTTTTTTTTCATCAGAACTTTTGCAACTATTTCTTTAAGCTATGCTTTCCACAGTTTTTCTGTCACCACGTGTATTTTTAATGCGCAATGATGCTATGGAGTAAATATGGCATTATTGGGTGGGGAAAACATACCTTTGCAAATAGCTTGATTATTGAAAAGTCTTATTTTAATACAGCTCTATATCTCTATTTCTGTCAAAATGTATGCAATCAGGATTTGTTCTGGATTCTGAAATACAGTGTTCTTTAAGGAAATCCCTTCCACCTCATCTTCTTAGGGATTTCTGTCTGCCTTTGCCAATTTTCTCATGGCAAGTAGTGAGATGAAACAATTTGCAAGGATTATGTTTCAACCTTTTATTATCGTCCTTTTAAAAATAAAGTATTTTTATTTAAACTGTAACTCATTTTTAAACACTCTGAATACATTTCTTTAGTGTGAGCAATTTAAAACATAATCTGATAAAGTTATATTTTGACAGCTTGTGTTCTCACTTCAAAAATCCCCCACTGAAAAGCTGTCCATGCTCTGATAGCCTGACTATGCATTTTTTAGTAAATTTGCTCTAATTTTAGTAACTTATTTATATTCTGGTGTATTAAAATAGATTCTAAAATAAAGCACCCAGGTTCCATTTTTCTCTCCTGCCATGGAAAAAGTCCAGTCTTGCCTCCAGCAGGGCTAGGATTAGAGCCACTGCCCAGAGTTTCTGCTCCATATTCAAGCACAGTCCAGTCCGGGATCTGGCTAGCGTAGCTTGTGTTCCCAGCTGCAGTCCATTGCATGTGGGGTCCACATGGCTGGGCCATGGTGTTGCTTACAGCCAGATGGCAGGCTAGCACACAGGTGAGTGTGGGTCACCTAGTGAGAGAGCTCAAGAGCTGGCAAGAGGACAACAGAGAGGATTATACCTGGTAGCTTAGCCATTAACCCTTTAGGATTTCATGTGTTTGCAGTATTTCTATCTCTAGCCAGTCATTTTTCTCAGGTTAGATAGACAGCAAGCTATGTCACGCTGACTTCACTCACTGCACAAGCACCCATCTTTTTCTTTGTTGGATCCTTTCCCCCAGTGAACTGCAGGGAATGGACAGGTGGTTCCCTGGGGAGCGTGAAGTTGCAGCTTCCTGGTAAAGCTGCCCAGGTGACCATGCTTATAATGTGTGGCCTCCCCTTTGCTCCTTTCCTATGATTAATACTGACTAGCTACTTATGACCATAACACCAGCATATTGATCCTTGGTATTTATTTACTGTTAAGTATTTTTTGTAGTAGGTCCGTATTTACTATAACTGGATTGTCTACACTCTTAAAGAGTTATTAAATTAATACTCTTTAATAATGTGAATTTATATATGTAAAAACTATATGCCCCAAGTTTTTTTTTATTGTTTTTGTGTTAGATTCTCTCAGATAGCCTTGCTCTGATGTTTCTCCATTTTCATTCATTCCAGTTGAAATTTAAGAAGTTCACCTGAACGCATTGTTTTTGCTTGTAGATTGCAGTGGTGGAAGAAGACGGTCGGGAGGACAAAGCAACAATTAAATGTGAAACTTCCCCTCCCCCGACCCCTAGGACCATCAGGATGACTCACACCCTCCCTTCTTCCTACCACAATGAGGCCAGAAGGTATGGCTCTCCCAGCACAGAGCACAGTGCCCACGTCCCTCCTGAAAACATTCCTCTTCCTTCCAGTGTGGTCAGATAGACTGCTTAAAATTTATGTAACACTACAGGCCTGGTGCAGGAAATCTGTGGAAGGGGGCCATCTCCTCAGCCCAGCCTGCACCCTCTCCAGTCCTCTCCAATCTGGGACCCTTAGGGAAATGTCCGACTGCAAATGAATATCCCTCTCACCAATTCTGGACCACTGGCTCCTAACTGCTCACCTGCCTGCCTGCCTAATCACCCCTAATGGCACCCTTGCTGGCCTGGTCACCTCCAAAGGCCCCCCTTGCCAGCCTAGTCATACCCAACTTTCCCACCTGCTGGCCTGGTTGCCTCTTACTGTCCCCCCTGCCAGCCTGGCCACCCCCAACTGCCCCCCCACAGGTCTGGTTGCCCCTAATTGCCCTCCCCTATTGGCCAGTTTACCCTTTACTGCCCTCCATGCTGGCCTGGTCCCCCCCAACTGCCTACCCAGTGGGCCTGGTTGCCCCACACAGCTTGCCGCTCAGTCATTTGGTCACCCCTCACTAACCCCCCTGCTGGCCTAGTTGCCTCACACAACCTGTTGGATCATCCGTTCAGTTTTGATTGTCGCTTATATATAAAATATATATATTTCAACTTGTGAAATAAATAGATAGAAACAATATCACAATTTTCACAATATTTGTGAAAAGAACAAATTTTCATTCTGAGATCAATTTTTTAGTTTTAAAATTAACTTTACATTTGTGGTCCTCTTATTAGCCAATATTTGTAAGAATAGCTCTTCTCTCAAATGTGGTATATAAAACTGAAACTAGTGAATACAAACAACAGTGTGGTGGTCGCCGGAGGAAAGGGGACAGGGGAGAAGGGGGTCCTAATATATGGTGGCAGGAGAAGATTTGACTTTGCTTGGTGTTACACAGGTCTTGTAATATAGAAACCCACACCTGAAACTTATATGTTCATGTTGACCAATGTCACCGCAATAAATTTAATAGAAGAAAACAAAGAATAGATCTCCTATTTTTGGTGTATATTTTCTATTGAAATATTATAGAATTGGGCTGTATGAGGAACTTATTAGGAAGGGTAACAAAAACTACAGGGATTCTAGGATGTAGGGGCAGAAAACTTTCTACCTCTTTCCTTTTAGGTTTTTTGGCTGCTCTAAATTAAATTGACATTAGGCAGATTGACAGGATAAAACAACATATTTCATTCATATGGGAGCCCCATAAAATTAAGAGATTCCCTGGCAGGCGATCTTATATTGAGGCTTACATACTAGCCTGAGCTAAGAAGGGGTTAAGGGGCTGGAGCTCCGAAGGGGAAGAAGACAATTCATAGAAAAATGAGATCTTATGTTTGGTAAGTAAATGCTTGCCATGCTATGCAGATAAGTCTTTCTGATAAAAGAAGTTTTCTCACTTAATAGCTCTCTTACTGGTACAGGCCCTGACCTAATTTCTTTTGGGTAGCTATGGGGGAGGTATAACGCTTCTCCTGGGAGTGCTGGACTCTGGCTGTCTTCAGCTTAAAATAATCCGCAGGCCAAAGTGGTACTTCCCAAGGTGGCATATTCTGCTCCCATCAAGGACAAGACTATACATTTGCCTTGGAGTGTAATAGTAATTAAGGTCTGAAAAGTCCATGATTGTGCCCCATTTCCCTTTAGCAGACTAGGCACACTACCCTTAGGGTGCTGCTGCTCCTCAGGCAGAAAGTTCCTAGAAAGAAACACACACACACACACACACACACATTCTACAAAATATTAAAGGAAAAGATAAGGTTATATTGGGAAATATACCATCTGTCATAATGACATTTTATATTGTCCTTTCCATCTACCTAAAAAATTGCAAGCAGAGCTATATAATAATTATTGACATAAATAAATGTAAGCATGCAATTTAATCTTAACTGCAATGTCCTTTTTCTGTCAATAATTGCAACATCTCTAGATACCTAATTGACATAAGTGAACATAATAATGATTAATACTTTAAGAATTTGCCTTCTAAATAGTATAGGTTTTACAACAAATACTTTTGAAAACAGAGCTTTTTGTCCTGGCAAGCACTATTTCTGTTGTGCTTATTTTTAATTTCTAATGCTTCAAAATAGATACTTCCTTCACTGTCAAAAACATGAATTATATTGTCACATAAGAAAAGCAATAGTTTTTGAGTTTAGGGATTGTGAACTCAAATTAATTAAAATGAGTAAATAATGTTAAATAATTTATTATGTCATTGTCAATTGAATAGCTGTATAAAAAAGAATGAGGGCAATATCTATTGAACCTCTCCTATTAATACAGTGTCAAATACACTGACCAGGATTGGAACCTAGACCAACTGCTTGAGTGTCATTTCAGCTTATCATGTACATCAAAGAATACCTTAGGACTATAAGAAAAAGTATACAATGATCACTAGGGTATATGATTTGTTACTTCTGAATCCCAACCAGATGATTTTAAATTGAGTGAATTGGGTTCCAAAACTGAGAGAAAGAATGCTTGATGAAAACCCAGTGAAATCATCCATTAAACTTCATTATTGGTTATATTTAAATTTCTTATCATATGCTATTAGGTTTAAGATTTTAAAAGCACTCAGAGGAAAAAAAATAGGTAAAGGGTCAAGTGCTAAATAATAGAAGATCATTTAACATGTTGTTAATAAAGCCACTTTTGTTTACTGATTAGCTTGAGATTGTAAAAAAATAAATAAAAATAAGGGCAAAGATCATTTGGAACAAAAATAATTTTTTTTAGAGAAAATTTGGAGGCTCGAGGCCCTAGGATGTGAAACCATATTTCAGTTTGATTAAGAGGAAAGGTGGGCAGAAAGGGAGAAAACTTCAGAAGTCCATGTGTGTCTCCTTTCATGCATTTATAAAGAAAGCAAGTCTTGTCTAAGTAACTTGTGGATGTTGCATTAAAACGAGCATTTGCCCTCCTTTGTGGTTTGCAGTAGTTTAGCTGCCTCCCTGGAGCCAGACAGCCTCGGGCTTGGCAGTGCCAATAGCAGCCAAGACTCTCTTCACAAGGCCCCCAAGAAGAAGGGCATCAAATCTTCGATAGGACGCTTGTTTGGTAAAAAGGAAAAAGCTCGGCTTGGGCAGCTCCGTAAGTATGTGTGTTTGACTTTCTACTGCTACTCGCTACAGTCACTGCTGAGTGCCCATCTGTTTTTTATTTCATTCTATTTCTCAGTTTTCTCTTTTGTTTTTCTTTGTCCTACCAATGACAATGGAAGATAAGAAAGGATGGCATGGAAAGCAATGTGGTTGAGGAATGATAATGTCCAAGAACCATGTCAAAATTTTGAATCATGTCCTAAGATTTGGAACTGTTTATCTCATACAAGAAGAGAAATACAAATTAACCTGAGAGTAGCTATGCTAGATGGTGTGGAGAAATGAAACTGTCAAAATAAAACTATGAAAATGTTCACTTGGTTCCATAAGGAATAATAAACGACAAGGAAGGAATTCTTAGTAATTCATAGAAAATAATATTTGTAAAGGGGTGTTATTTGCCTTATGTTACAATTTGAAAATCCAGGTTAATAAGGTAAACTTCAGACCAGTCAATGTAACAGGTTAATAAGGTAAACTTCAGACCAGTCAATGTAGATCGCTCCTAACGGCACCCCTGTTTCTGCATGTTTCTGGCCCAGGAACGTTTGCCTGCTATATTCTGTGTTTGTCCTGTCCAAACAGCTACTAACAGGGCTTCTGAAACTCAAGATCCAGGATTATGCATCTGTAATTAGAAACCTGACTGGCTTGATTTTTAATTTTATCAGAAAGCATTAACCTATTTTGAAACAAAGCAAATTAAGCTGTGTTAAAAATAGGCATGTCAAACAAACCTTGTTTGTTTCATTGACAAAGTTGTTCTGTAACAGAACAGGAAAGGTAGTGGATAAGATGTCAAAATGGGGTGTGGATGATGGAAAAAATATGTGGCAGTTATAATTTGTTGAGGAACACTGCTGTCATAATGCCAATTAACAGAGTGATGCCACCTAGCTCAACATCTCTCATGGGTTGGTTATGACTCTCTCTTCTTATTCAGCACATCCCCTAATTGTTTAAAACACAGATTTCAAAAACACAGATATCTGATTTGTGGATTACTAATATGGTTATGAATCACAAAACTTAAGAAATAGACTTATTCATAAATACTGTCTAAAGTGTAAAATATGGGAGCTCATAAATATTTGGTTCTAAACATTATTCTAAGAAAAAATCAGAAATTTCAAGTAACTCTAAAGTTAGTCAATAAAGATAGGCCACATTAATAGACATAGCATTGTGATAAAAGAAGACTTTTCTATTCTAAGATAACAGCCAAGGAATGGTATCCATTCTGTTTACTGCACTTTTAGAGGCACATCATAACCTTGGAGGAAGGTTAGAGGGGAAGATTAAACTCATGTACAGGATTGAACTCATGTGAGGAATAGACATAGATGAATGTGTTTATTCTTCTTGCTTACCCAAAAGTATGGCTGATTTCAAATATTTGAAGAGCTATTATGTGGAAGAGCTGTTGGCTTTTCCATTGTTAAGTGAGTGTACAAAACTAGAACCAAAGTGTTAGTCAAAGATTATCTTCATCTCAATGTAAGAAGTGTCAGAATTATATCCAAAGAGCTGGCTTTTGAGATAAGGCCTTCTTGGTTACTGAAAACTAGGTAAATTATAAAGCAAAAGCTGGGTAAATACTAGGAAGATGTGTTGTGGAGGGGATCCAAGCATTGGAAAGATAGTTTGACTGGATGACTTCTAAGATCTACTTCAAATCTAGTAATACTGAATCTATGACACTCCAACATTTAAGCCTATATCAAACAACCTTTTTTTTTTTTTTTACAAAACATATACTATTAATTGTTAACTATAAAATGCATGTGTATTTTTAAAATTACAGACTTTCAGAGTTAGACAATATCTAAGATCATGTAATGTTCCACACTCCATATTATGTAAAAAAAAAAAAAAAAAAAAGAAAAAAGAGATGAGTTTAATAATGGTTAAAGGTATTAGTTCCTAGCTCTTACTACCTAGTCTAGTGCTCCAGACAATATAGCCTTGGAACCGTTTTAATAAAAAGTACCTACCTCATTGAGCTCCTAATACCATGGAACAAGTTTAGTAACTTAGTGAATTAAAAACATGACTATTTCATCAAATTTATAACTTTTTGAGGATATTGAACATAAGTGCATAAAAATTAAAAAGTAATTCAAGGTAACAGACATCATAGACTACAGTATACATTTTTTATTAAAGATCCTGGCATAATGTAAGAAAGGAGTTCAGATTATTAATTTTCTCTCCCTAGATACATTTGATTCTACTAGGAAAATCTAAATGAAAATTTTCTACAGAATTGAAAAGGTATACAGCTAGAGTTTCAAATAGAACTGATACCTGAGAAAGGGTACTGAAACATGAAAGAAAAAAAACTCTAAGGGGATTGTGCTAGAAACAACTTGGGTGTTTTCTGTGGTTAGTCAGGAAGTGGGTTATTGGCTGGGGTCAGGAATGGGAAACCAAATTATCAAACAAAGGAAATGGTTGGACTAAAGATAAAGTTACCTAACTGGAGAGATTGGAAATGCAGAGCTCTAAAGACAACAATTTGAAACAGAAACACACACACAAATTAAATTATCTAATTCCAGGGTCAAGTAGGAGGCTAGGAGTTAGAGCAATCAAGTACCTTGCTAAGAAGCAGTTAACCTAAAGCTTATGAAAATGGTGATAGCATGTGAAGACAAGGTAGAGATGTTAAAGCATTTATTGCTTCTGGGGGAATCATCTGCTCCATAGGATCTTAACATTCATTAGTTTACTACCTGGGAAACACAATTCTCCCAGGTCTGCAGAGAGCCCTAATAATAATGACTACAAAAAAAAAAAAAAAAAAAAGAACAGAAAACCCATGGCTAGCCTAGCTGACGTTAATAGTGAGGATAAAGACTAGAAGCCATTGACAGACATTGCAAGAGAAGGAGCCATAATTAAGAACAAAAAGATCTTCAAGAAGAGAATTGGATAAGTAGAGCCCAATATAGAAAAGCTGTGAAAAATGAGTAAAAAGAGCACTGTCCATCAGAGGAGCACAGCCATGCCTTTCCCTTCCCTCGCTTCTTCCCCCAGACTCCTTACCTTTGCCTTCAACTCTCCTATGCTCTAGAGGCCCTTTGGCTTCTGTAACTTGTTTCCTGAGCTTGCTGGCTCACTTCTAAGATCTCTGTAATTTTCTAAATAAACTTTCTCTTATAATCCTATCTAATAAAATAGTAATATGCAAATTAACCATCATTATGCTATACTCGCAAGTCAAGTCCACCAGCCAATCAGGAGCGAGGATGCAAATCAACCCAACCAAGATGGCTGTGGCCATGGAAACAGCAGGAAGGAGGCTTGGGTTTCCCTGGTGATGGAGGAAGCCAAGCTTTTTGCACACTCTGGCTGGCCCAGGCCTCCACTTAAGGCTACAAAGTTTCAATTGTAGAGGATAAATAGATCCCAGATTCCAGGGCCTCTGCTTGGGTCGCCAGGGTACATGGCAGACCAGCAAACCACCACAGTACCCTCACTCAGGCTGCCCCATGCCCCAAGTGAACCCCCACCCTAATCCGGGACACCCTTCAGGGCAAACCAGTTCGCCCCCACACATGCACCAGGCCTCTATCCTATCTAATAAAGGAGTAATATGCAGATTGACCATCACTCCAACACACAAGATGGCCGCCCCCATGTGGTCAAAGATCCTGCCCCCATGTGGACACAAGATGGCCACCACACTATGGCCAGCAGAGGAGGGCAGTTAGGGGTGACAAGGCTGGCAGAGGAGGGAAGTTAGGGGCAAAAAGGCTGTGAAGGGAGCAGTTAGACATCAATCAGGCTGACAGGGAAGTGGTTAGGGGGTAATCAAGTTGGCAGGCAGAAGTGGTTAGGGGCAATCAGGAAGGCAGGCAGGCAGGAGAGCGGTTGGGAACCAGCTGTCCTGGATTGTGAGAGGGTTGTCTGACTGCCTGTTTAGGCCTGATCCTACCAGGCCTAAACGGGCAGTTGGACATCCCTCGAAGGGTCCCAGATTGGAGAGGGTGCAGGCTGGACTGAGGACCCCCCCCCCCAAGTGAATTTCATACACTTGGCCTCTAGTCTATACTAATAAAAGGGTAATATGCTAATTAGGCAGGTGTCTTCCAGACAACCATCTGGACGTCCTTCCTGATAAAGCCATGCCCAGATGAAGCCAACTGCCAGTGGTGCCAGGGGTGCCAGCAGCGGCTGCTGTGGCCTAGGAGAGGGAGAAGCCACCTGCCCACTGTCCCCTGTGGCTGTCCCAGGAAAAGCCATCCTGGGTCCCAGGTCCCTGCGGCTGGCCAGAGGGAATCCCAGATCCCGAGTGCGGGGCTGGGGCAGAGGTGGTTAGAGGGGATCAGGCAGGCAGGCAAGTGATTAAGGGAAATCAGGCTGGCAGGGAAACAGTGAGGGGCAATCAGGCAGGCAGGCAGGTAAGCAGCTAGGAGCAAGCAGTCCTGGGTTGTGAGAGGCATGTCCAATTGCCAGTTTAGGCCAAATCCCTATAAAGCTACAGAGTATAGGAATTATGCAGGTGAGCAAAAGAGGATTCCAGAAGCTAGGAATGAAAAGCTTTTAGAAATCAGGCAATGCCTCTCCATTCTGTTTACTTGGAATTGAAGACATACACCTGAGTTTCTACTCACTGGACTATCAATTAACCCAATTATATAAGAAGTCTTTTGAAAGTTTTAAATGTTGCCCGGCCACCGTGACTCCGTGATTGAGCCTTGACCTGTGAACCAGGTCACACAGTTTGATTCCTGGTTAGGGCACATGCCTGGGTTGCAGGCTTGATCCCAGTGTGGTTCATGCAGGAGGCAGCCAATCAATGATTCTCTCTCATCCTTGATGCTTCTATCTCTCTCCCCGTCTCCCTTCCTCTCTGACATCAATAAAAACATTTTTTAAAGTTTTAAATGTTGAAAAACACAATACTCCACAAATATTTGCTCTTATTTCATTAAAAGGAGATCACAAGACTTTCAAATTATATATTCATGTGTTTATCAGTATACAGGCTACATGTTTTATGTTGCTCTGAGTTACCATTGAATAATGTAACAGTAGGTACTATTTTTTTTTTCATTTTCCATTCTCTCAGTGTATGTTCATGCATGTTGATTTGAAAATAGAAACACTTTCAAAAATGTGTGTGGGAGTGAGGAGAAAATGTGGTCGTAAACAGTTGCTGGGATACATTTTTAAGAACTTAATTGCAGAATTGACCCAATATGTTTAATCTAACGTGAATGGTTACTTCTTCACAGGAGGCTTCATGGAGACGGAAGCTGCAGCCCAGGAGTCCCTGGGGTTAGGCAAACTCGGAACTCAAGCTGAGAAGGATAGAAGACTGAAGAAAAAGTAGGTTTGGAGATGTTTTTCCTCTCCTTTCTTAAACTTTACACTTTTGCATAGCGTATAGGGTATTTAAAAAAGAGATTAGTTAGAAGAAAACATCCGACTGATGGCTATTGCCCTGGTTTTTCCTAAAACTATCCAGGGCTCGAGTTTCCTTGTTCTAACAGGGTAGAGTTTGAAATAACATTTCTCTAACTATAGTCGTGTTATTTCAAAACACAGGTATATTAAAATATGTAAATGCAGCCTTACAAATAATGTAATAGTCTGTTTGATGTGACATTCAGTACTGTGCTGTATTGGTATGAAAAAATGAGAGAGTATGCCATTGATCTTTGTGTTTCTTCTCATGACCAAGTATCTCCTCTTAAGATGGAATATTCAAAAGGAGAAATTCCTCTGGAATGATGGAATATAAACTAATTTTAGACTTACAGCAGATTGTTTTGCATCTGTCAGGAAACTGATAGTACATCTTTTCATTCACATATAATATGGAACGTATAAGTAACTTGCAAAATTGGCAAATTTTGAGTCCCACCAGCAATTGGAAAGCAAGTAGATCCATAAATAACATTTTTGGATACATAATAACATTTTTCAGTGAGAAAACAGCACCTTTAGAATATATTTTTAAAAGCTAAAGAATTTCTCTTTATTCCAGAATCTATTGGCTGGTTACTCTGCAGCAGTTCATGGCTCTAGTCATCATTGTAACAGAGATTCTAACGTAGATGCTCTCATGGTTATAACATTCAGACTAATCAGCTTACTTCATATGTTGCCAGCTCACTTGCATTGCAGATGTTTACTAAGAAGGAGGAAATATGTACTTAAAAGTTGCAGAACAACTCACTAGCCAAGTTGTTTCATTAACTTTCTATTTATAAAAATTAGGTATTTATCCAAATTCAGTACAAATACTGTGAAGAAAATAAAAGTAACATGGAAAACATATTTTAAAAATACAATGAAATGATCAGTAGCATTCTATACTAGCAAACATTTTCTTTTGTTAATTATACTTCAAAATGCATATTTAAAAAATACTATAATATGCTTGAAATCTCTTATTTTTATTTATTCCTATCAAGGATTGTTATATTCAAATTTAAGGTTATATATTGAGAGAGAGAAATTAAAAATCTTCTTTGATAGATTCTTTAAAATTTATTTCAAGTTTAAAGGATTTTTAATTTTATTCTCTGAAAATTACTTTACATCTAAAGGAATAAGAAGAGTCAAAACTCAGTCTAGCTAATAGACCTCCTTTACTTCTCTTAAAAGTTTTTTTTTCCTAGTCTGTATTACTCAGTGGATAGAGCATCGGCCTGTGGACCTAAGGGTCCCAAGTTTGATTCCAGTCAAGAGCACATGCCTGGGTTGTGGGCTTGGTCCAATGTGCAGGAGGCAGTCAATCAATGATTCCCTCTCATCATTGATGTTTCTCTCTCTCTTTCTCTCTCTCTCTTCTTCTCTCTCTCTCTCTCTCTCTCTCTCTCTCTCTCTCTCTCTCTCTCCTTCTCTCTCTCTCTCTCTCTCTCTCTCTCTCCTTCTCTCTCTTTCTCTCTCTCTCTCTCTCTCTCTCTCTCTCCTTCTCTCTCTTTCTCTCTCTCTCTCTCTTTCCTTCTCTCTCTTTCTCTCCCTCTCTCTCTCTCTTTCTTTCCTTTCCTTTCTGAAATCAATGAAGGTATATATATTTTTTAAAGTTATATTTTATTTTTCTCTCAATGAAATATTTACATATAATGGAAATCTGGCCACCTTTCACATTGCATTCAAGGCTGATATTGAGGCATGCATTACATAATTCATTGTTTTTTTTTTTTATGGGACCAAGTTAAATGTCTTTTTTGATGACTACTAAAGTTAAATATCCCAATTATACAATGATCTTAAAAATATATATTATTATTATCTACTATTAACTTTACATACTGTTGGATTGATTCGATATTAATGGAGTTATTTTTTCAAATCCTATATACCCTCATAGCAGAAGCTGGTTTTAGTTCTGGATTGAGTTTGAAAATTAAGAGTTTTGAGTTTAATTTGCAATATGTTTAAGCAAAATATGATTTTAAAATGTATTAAATAGAATATTGTCACTAATATAAGAATAATATTGGAAGCATTACTTAATATAATACAAGTTAAAATGTATTAGTTATTTTCTATTGATTAATAGTACTTGGATTGAAGTGAATCCAACAAAGTTAATCAATGGAAGATAGTATTTCTTTTATTATTTTTTATCCCATAGCAAGAACCCTTTGACCATAAATATATAACCAGGATGTGTGCGGGTATATATAGTGCTAACACTTATTCAGGACTTGTATGACACTATACTGTTGCTTCTGGGTTACTAAAGGGTGAAGTGTTTTCATGTAATGAGTTATTTAAGATAAACAAGTTAAATCATTCTTAAATTTTCTGAAGTATTTAAAATTTTATTTAAAATTCCATTATTCTTTTTTTCTAAAGATACTCTGTCCTTTTTAAATGTGCTTCAAGGAATACAATTTTATGTGTTAAATTTTCATGTGAATTAATCTTCTTTCAGGATGGAAAATAATTCAAGTACATTTTATTAGAAAGATAAACAAAACCATAAAATGGAACTTTCTTTCAAAAAGTTGAACACTATGAGTTGTACATTTTAGTAGCTATGACCATGTTTTCCTAACAATTTTTTTATTCTCATCTTTGGCCAAAAATGTAATGATTCCAGAACAAAGTACTTTGATCGATATTCACTGTCCCAAAGTTGCTATCAGAGATGCATTAGTCTCTGAAGGAATTGGCCAACCTGGAGAAAATTTTTTATTTTTAACTTTCCTAGGACATCAGGTATTTAAGATGAATAATCTGTGATTTTTTAATTTAATTGGGAATAATTTTCTCTAAAGATGTTAGTTATGGCACATTTTTAAAAACCATACGTTCACAGAGCAATATTCAAGACATTCCGAATTTTTGCAAAGTTCAGAAATTTGTAATGTTGCCAGTCCCAAAGAAAAGTCTAATTTGAGGTACATTTACCATCCAGCAAATTGAGCACACAAGATTTAGAAAAGCTTACTAGATCTGTGTTCCTACTTTATTATAGTTTAACTTTTCTTTATGGTACAGGCATTTGTTTTTCTTATGTTTCTAGCTATTGTCCAATGATGAGAAATAGAAAATCAACAATACTGGATCTGCTAAAGCACCCACTATTCAAAACATCTTATCAACCTTCACCTTTCTGAGTTGGGTATGATCACACAGGTGCTATTCTTTCATCAGAACATCTAACCTAGCCTAAGTCAATCTATTATTATTCTTAAGGTTCACATTTACTATGCCTTATTTCTGCTATAATTTCCTTTAAAACTTAAATTCCTTAATTTTTTTCCAGCAGGTTTATGTAGAGTGCTGCTAATTCCAATAATAATTGTGTCAAACTGACAGCACTGCTTTGAATACTTTACATTAATTTTTCTGGCCTTCACTCTTAAAATGTGTTCAATTTTTTCTGTAGCCCACATGGTATAGCTCCTAATCTTTAAGGATTTAGTCAGTTATTCTTATTATAGATCTCGGTATTAGAAATATGATTTCTCACAATTTTCTTGATATCAAGTCACTCTGGAGGGTTACTATTCTCTGATATCTTATCCATGAGCTTCTGTTTGATTTAAATAGACTACAAGCATTTTTCTGATTTAACACAAACTAAACATCCCCTCTATTTCCGAGGTTCACATTACACACAATAGGACCTAAGAACTTGTCCTCTTTCCTTTTAAACCTGTCACCCGATCTTCAGGGACATATTTCTCTTTCTTACCTCTCCAGCAATGTTTTAGGCTAACACCTAAAGTTGTTCAAGCTGGTCAACCACAGCTACAAAAAATAACTGCATGATATAATAGGTCCTACTGAAGGGACAAAAGCTTACATGGTCTGTCACTTCAAAAAGCTCAATTTCTGAATGTTCTTTGACTCCATGAATCCCTGAATTTCACTTAGAACATAGATGTGGTGTTTTAGAACTCAGTAAATAGAAGCTCTGCTCTTTGACTAAAGTTTAGAATCTATTTCATGATAGACAAAGGAGTCAAACAATTTGAGATCACAATACCAGCTTTATTGCTGAAAGAGCTGTTAGAACATGACTTAAGTATATGGGAAAAAGAGGTTTTCCTAACACTGAATCCCCAAATTTGTTAAACTTACCTGACACTGAAAGAGCTAGATAGTCACAGGCTTTCAACATGCGCAAGTGTTGCCCACGCCTGTAGAATAGCATCTACAATATACCGAGTCCATCAATCCATTAATCTGGAATCAAGGACCATAAACTCACAAGGAAGAAGATGAAATTTTATGTCATTAGCATCTTTGCATCAAGAAGAACTTTTGAAATACCAATGTCAAATGTGTTTGTATGAATGTCTCACCAGATTTCTTACCTTACTATGCTCTCCTGGAATATATTTAACCGCCAATTATCCACATCACCTTTCTGAGAATGTGATGATAGGATGTGTGGCAAACTCCCTAAATACTTAGAATTCTGAAAATATGTTTTATATCTAAAATTAGTTGGTAATTGCCTAAAGTGTAAAACTATTGATTTAAAATAGTTTTCCCTCAAAACTTTGAAAGTATTACTCTTCTTGCTTCCAGTTTGTCCACTGTCAATTGCTTGTCATTCTTTCCTATTTAACATGTAGAGTTTCTTTATACACTCTTTCTCTCTCTGAAAGTTTAAGATTTTTTTCTTTATCTTTGGAGTTCAGAAATGCTTTAAGTATATTTATAATCAAATGTTTTTTTATATTTAATTTTTCTAATTTATACTTTTAATCTGAAGATTTATTAGATTGGACTATCTTACACATATTGACATAAAGAACTTTTATTTCTAGATTCAACTTTGTTTCCAAGAAACTAATTTTTACATATACTACGGCATTGAAGATGAATTTGTTTGTTTCATAGCATTGCACTTT